TGCGGATCAAAACGATTTCGTTTATAATCATATACTAAAGGAGAAAAACGAGAAAATATGCGTTCACAAGAAGTAGAAGAAGAAGGAACTGCTAAAAAAATGCTTAGAAATGGTGAAAGGTGTGTGTTTACAACCTTTTTAATTCATAATTTATTTATTTCGAATATTTTAATTACTTGTAAAGGAGAACATTTACTAGCTAATGTTGTAGATGAAACGACATCAGAAAAGAATATTGTTGCTGCACTAAATTGTTCTGGTTCAACAAATTCCCCCAATTTTAATTTATCGGCTCTTGTTCTAAAGAACTTGTATATTGCTCTAACATTCCAAAAACATAATCCATTAAATTTTGACTCCCGTCCCTAACCATTTGTTTTAACATTGTTCTGACTTGATCTATTCTTGGACGTTCTGTTGGAATTTCACTCCAACAGTCTCGAATCACTCCAACAGTCTCGAATTTTTGAGGAGTTCCTTTTCACGATCAAGCTCAATTCTCTTTTCTTCGAAGTCTTTTTGATTCTAACATTTGGTGTCACGATTTGGTGTCATTTCTCAACTTTTTATAATTTTTGGTGTTGTAGTATTTGGTGTTGTAGATTTTGTAGTAATAAGTGAAACTTGACAATGGCTTTTTATAACTTTTTTGATTAAAATTTTATCGTTTTAAAATTTTTTGTTTAAGAAATTTTTTCTTTTGTAAATTTTTAGGCTTTTGTAAATGTTTTGCAAGATATTTTTAAATTTGTACATGAAGAATTTAGATTCAGGCGAGATTTTTCACTTTTTAAATTTAGTTCGACAAATTGCGAATTTTTACTTTGTTGGACATTTTGAGAGGTTCGCAAAAATACCTCAACACAGGTGGAGAGACTACACGAACGAAAATTAACAGAAAAAAAGAAGAGAAATATAATGGCAGAGCAGAGAAAAAAAGATACAAAAACGTTGATTCGCAGTTGTTTGGCGCAAAACGTTGATATTAACGTTGTTCTGGCGTTATGTATTTTAAAAAAAGTTGTTCGCGAATAATTGTTGATATTATTAAATCAACTTTTTTTTCTTAAGAAAACGTTGATATGTCGTTCCCTATTGGGGAGTAGGGCCGAAAAAAAAAAAACTGGCAATAGGAAATCGACCCTTCTCTACATGATGGTATAAAAATAATTACAAAATAATTGGTAATCCTCAAAAATATCGAACAGGCCCTTTTTTTCTAATTTTTTTCTAGGAACTAATAAACTAAAAGATTACCACATTTCGGATTAGCTAAAAAACATCTAGAATGGATTGAGAAAGAAGAGTTTTTTCACGTTTTAAATGCCAATTAATGATTGAAAGTTTGAACTCATATTTACACTCAGCACAATTGATTACCTAATGTCAAACTAACCAAGGTGAAGTTAGATAAGTCTAAAAAATTAGGCGGAAACCGGTAATAGTGAAAATTACTTATCCCTAGAAAAAATAAGCAAAAAGTGCGTTTTTGATATTGCTGATGCTTGGCAGTAGTTGAGTTGGATGGTATCAAATTAATTGTGACGACAACATTAAACGAAAGTATGATCAATTAAATAGACGTTTGGAATAAAATATAAAAACTCCCTCATACAAATCAATATCAGAATTTGGGGTAAAATTGAATTTCGTATACCCCCTCCTTTTTCAAGCCTCAAAATATTTCAAAATGGTCAGTCTGTTATCAAATTATAGAACTCGTTAAGCTGTATCGAATGACACCAAAATCAACCCCCGGTCTAAACTTTGGGCCGAGATACAGACCCCCGAAAATTGAAAAATAAAAGGGTGGGCCAAGCTCATTTTTTGGGCTAAAAATTTGATTAATCAAATAATAGCTCATTCAAAAGAGCTTGTCGAGCTGATTCGAATGACATCAAAATCAATGTAATTGAAAAAGATTTGACAAAGGTATGACATAAATTAATTCTTTTGCGCCGGCGAGACGCTTGTGCAAAACCCTTCGCTTTGCGCAGGGTCTTTGTCTGTGTCTCGGCCCAAAGTTTAGACCGGGGGTTGATTTTGGTGTCATTCGACACAGCTTAACGAGTTCTATAATCTGATAACAGACTGACCATTTTGAAATATTTTGAGGCTTGAAAAAGGAGGGGGTATACGAAATTCAATTTTACCGAATTTGGTTGAAAGGTGTCGAAACATAATTTTCAAGTTAGCAGCACAATCTTACTTTTCGAATTCCAACCCACTTTTAACCTAATCGAATTCAGGTCCGGGATTCGAAATAAAATTTTAATTTATATTCGGACTCAGTATACTCAATCACCTACTGGGAAACCTCAAAAATATCGAAAGAACAGTTCATTTTCTCTATAGACCAGTAATCTCCACTATCACCTGGAACTCTTAACACCAATCAAAGGAAACCCCTATTCTTCAATATTAACCCAAAAAACTTAAAACTTGCAAAATACCAACAACAGCAGCGGAGAAAGCAATTGTTGCTGCGTAGTTACAGTAAAGAGCATTTGAAGTTTTTCTCAACATTACCTAAATTTGAAAATGTAATGTACTAAAAAAATTTGAAAAAAAAATTTAAAAAATTCACTAAAAATTTTCTTAACTACGGGCCTATAAGTAATTTTTATGCATGCATGACAAAAATGATGCATGACTAACACAAGAATTTTGGCATTAATCAAATTAAAATGGATACTTATAAAAGACCAAAATTGATATAAACAAGCATATGAATAGATGCCCTGAAAGCCTTAGATAACTTAGGATCCATCAGAGACTCATACATAGGGATCATATTCTAAAACGAGATAGCAGCTTAGCCCAGAACTTTCCCCTAAAATGTAATGAGGGTAAACGATTTGCTGGGCGCGAGATGTGAATTAAAAAGCAACGGGTAACTTTTTGAACCCTCATCGGGGGAAGGTTACAGACTTACTGTTTCCAATTCTCTAGCTATGACGCAAGTAAAGCATCGCAGTTATTATAATACGACCCTAATGCAAACACAAGACAGCCCCATATATTTCAGAAATCGGTAAACGTAAAGCCTAAGAAAAAATGAGCAAAAAGTGCTTTTTTGATATTTCGAGGTTTGGGGAACGAATGTAACAAACAATTAAGATTAATCTGACACTTCTCTTCAATCCGAGTTGGATAGTATCAAAACCACTCAACTAGCTAAATGAGAAGAGTCATTAATAGCTAAGTAACCTAACGAAGGATCCCGAATCATTCCGTGTCAGGGCAGTTCTTCGAACGGACACGACTTCGACCGACAAAACTCAGTCGGACAAAACTTCGTTTTACCAAAACTTCGTCCAGACAAAACTTCGAATGTCCAAAACTTCGTCCAAAGAGCTTGGGGTTATTTTGGCGCAAGCAATTATTTCTTTAAACAGGCAATTGGATTTTTTCGGTACCGGTACCGGAAGTAGCGAAAAGAATCGATACCGAAAAGTACTAAATTTTATAAAATCTGTTTATCGGGAGTACCGGCACTTACGTACTGGTAAGATTTAGGAATTTCCGGTACTTCCGTTACGTTACCGGTACCAAAAAGTACCAGTTCCGGTTGAGCACTGAAAATTCCAAAATCTTGCCGACGTACCGGTAGTACCGGAAAGTTTTCGGAGAAAAAGAAATAATTGCTTGCGCCAAAATAACCCCAAGCTCTTTGGACGAAGTTATGGTCATTCGAAGTTTTGTCTGAACGAAGTTTTGGTAATTCGAAGTTCTGTCGGTCGAAGTTTTGTCTGGACTAAGTTTTGTCATTCGAAGTTCTGCCCCTCACCCAATCATTCTAAACCCGTATTTGACTCAGAACGCCCAATTACTGGCAAATCTAAAAAAAATCGAAAGAACACATTTTGCTCATTTTGCTAGTGACCCAGTATTCATCACCTAAACCCAAAAATAAAAAGTTTAAAGAAAAACCTTGCAAATTACTTCAACAATACTCATCCATCTATATTTCATCCATCAAACAGGTCACACATCTGATGCTGACAGATCAAAATCCTCACAAAATCTGAAACATCAAGATACATTCATCTCAAATTGTCAAAGTATTGTCAGAAGAGAAGTGTAGGAATAAATTTTTCAAAATTTTTGAACTCTAAAAAATTTAAAAGAGATTAATAAAATTGTTATGAACAAGGTTGTAGGATGCCCCGAATCAAAGAAGGAAGAAGTTATTGATTTTAATCCCTAACCTATGACAAAACAGAAATTTGGGCAGTTGTTGTCTACAAAAATGGAAGGAAAACGAAAGAAAATAAAATTAAAAAAAGAAGCACGCAAAGAAAAAATCTCTAATTCTCTGTTTTATGTACTATCTCTAAAATAAATGATGTTATGCCAAAAGTTACCAATTTAAATTCAAAAAAGTCAAACACTTAATCACTTCAAAACATCTAAAGACAAAAAGGAACTACAATATATGTACTCATCAGGAATTTGTTTTCGGGAGTTCGAATTTTAGGACTATAAAAGGCTAGAAGAAACCATCAAAAACAATTTTGGGTAGTTAAACTGTAAATATTAGACTTGAAAAATGTCATACTCTAATTTAAATAATAGAGATGAAAAATTTTAAATCTATTGATTTACTTGAAAAATTGGTGAGAGGCAAACGGGGGAACTTCCACCAAGTTGTTCAACAAAGAGGAACGCCAGCGTAGGTTCGGCGCGAGGCTGGCTGATGTACCCCGACCCGAAATACCATATGGACATTGAGAAAACATCATTCACTTTTACAGATAATACAAAATCGATTTATATCGATAAACCGTCAAACAAAATTCGTGCTCTATAATCCATTCAAAAGAAATCTATGTTTTGAATGGATTTTTTCGAAAGTAGATTTATACTTGTATAAACACAAAAAGATTTTTAGACCAAAAAACATCAACAAAAAAATGATTTTTTGTTTAATCCATATCATCACTCTCCTGTACAGTATATTCGCTTTCCTTCAATTCCTCCATTGCTCTTCTACATATTCAAATTTTCCCATTTTCCAAAAATTCTTTTAATTTCTCCAAAGCTTTTCCTCTATGAGATATTTTGTTTTTTTCTTCTGATGTCATTTCTGCAAATGTTTTTTCAAAGCCATTTGGCTGAAAAAAATAATAAAATTGATAATATTTTTATCCATTTCTACCATAAAACAAGGATCCCAACCAAATTGACGACTTCCTCTAGGTTCAACAATTATCCCTTCTGTCCTGCCTAAAAAGTCAGATTTAATTTTATATAAGCATTAAAACCTTGGAATGTATAAATTTGTTGATTTACACCTTTACAATATGCAAAAATACAGAGTGCATAGCCCGATTTGTCTTCAAATCCAGCTTTACAGGGTGCGGCATAAGTAATTGCACACTTGTTTTCTCTCATAACTTTATTAAAACACAATAAAATAAAATCGAAATACAATCAAATGATAGAGAATTAAATAGGGAACAATAATAATCAGGCAGTTTCGAAATGCCCACCCTTGGCTTTGATACAGAGGCGAAGGCGCGAAGAAAAAATTTCGCAAATAGCACGCACCTCCTTGTGTGTAATTAAGTCCCACTCTCGGGTGAGTGAGTGGCGCAGAGACTCCAAACTTTTGTGCGGCTTAGCACAGACCCTGGACTCCAAAATGTACCAAAAAGAATAATCCATCGGATTCAAATCCGGGGAGTATGGCGGCTATTCCTGAGCGCTAATGAACCCAGGAAAATTGGCCTTGCACCAGTCCTTAACTTCTTTCGCTTTGTGTGCCGGAGCAGAGTCCTGTTGGAAAATCCAGACTCTGCGACCGAAATGGCTCTTGAACCGAGGCTTCAGAACACGCTGAAAAAATTCTCGCAAGTAATAGTCTTTGTTGACTTTTACCCCAGGATCCACGAAAATAAGGGGTTTTTTGACTGACGCGCTAATACCGGCCCAAACCATGACAGATTGGGGATGTTGGGAATGAGTGATAAGCTTATCGGAAAGAGGAGATTCTGTAGTCCAGATTCTATAATTTTGATGGTTGTGTACGATTTTTATCGTAAAAATTTTTTCGTCTGAGAAGGGAATGTCCGGACATGCGTGCCACTGAAGGAGCGGTTTGCATCCTGCAAGCCTAACTTTTTTTGTTTTTTCTGTTAGCAGTTGTGCTTTTTGGATTTTGTAGGGTATTAACCCTAGTTTATTTTTAGCTATTCGTCTGACGGTCCTCTCACTTATTCCGGTTTCACGAGCCACTTTTCTCATGGAGGGTCGAGAATTGCGATGCACCTAGTTTTTGATCATTTTAATATTCTTGGAAGTGCTGACGGTACTCGGTCTTCCACTTTTTTGTAAGTTCTTAGTTGTGCCATCATTACTAAATTAATTTCAAAAAAATTTTCTCCCAAAAAATTTTCACCAGAATTTTTTGAAAGTGTATTGTACAGTGCTCTTTGGGACATTCAAAAGAGGTGAAATTTTGCGGACTGAATTTTTTTTCAAAAAAAGTGAAATTATAGAATCACGTTGATTAGCCATAATAGAGAATTGAATGAGCTAAAAAATAAGCCTAAAATCAATTAAAAATATTGACACCAAAAAAAGTTATAAGGAATTTAAAAGTGTGCAATTACTTATGCCGCACCCTGTAAATTTGAATTTATTAAAATTTTGAGGGAATTTTTTGTTTGGTTTGAAGTAAACAAATCATTTAAAAAAATCCGAAATTTAAAAATTACCTAACAGCTTTATCAACCCTTCAGGCTTCAATTTTTCCAGAAACCATTTAATATAAGGTCCTTAAAATTAAAATAAACAATTTTATTAGGTCAAAACAACATCCAAAATTACCGGGTAACCCTCCAAATGCATTAAAACACAAACAAGTATCCTCTACAAGTACTGGCCCTTCAATTTGTTTAACTGCATGTTCACATTTTTTGGCAACAATTTCGTCTGGTTCTCCTTGAAATTCTGGCAGGTCAAGTCCGATATGTTCTACCTATTTATAAATAATTTTTCGGGAAATTAAAGAAAATCTAAACACCCAAAAAGTCAACACTGTCAAGTTATGGGAGAAATTGTAAGGAAAAGTGAATGTCCGAGGATAGTGTTTTTCCTCTTGCTTTGAAAGGAGTTTACCGTTTTCTCTTAAATTAGGCTAATACATTCGGTCTACCTCCCCCCTTCAAATACTACATATTTCCTTCGAATCTCTTACATTGAAACTGCTTCCCAATAAAGCTTTAAGTTCTTTAAGTTTGTTTTGATTGCTAGTAACAAATTTTAAATTTCTGACATTCATTTCAGAATTTTTAATAAATTAATAAAAATAAAAGATTGACAAGAATAACAACAAAAACAATATTTTCTTTGTTTTAACAAAAACAATTTCAAAATTTAATTAAAAATTTTTTTTCACAAAAAATAAATTCCCGCAGCAAATTGTAATCCAGATGAACAATTATCCCCAGGAAAATAACGAAGAGGCAAAACATAATTTAATTCAAGTCGGGCAGTATTAAAAAAATTAATTGCCAATCCAATCCCCGCTGAAATTCTTTGCTTCATTATGAGATCGGTCAATAAATTATTTGAGTGTTTTAAACTTAATGAACCAGAAGCGAGAAATAAATGGGCAAATACCTGGAAAAATTAAAAATTAAATTGAAGGGGAAATAGAAGAATTGTAAAAAATTAGACACTCAAATCAGAAAAATATCAGAATTCTGAAAAAATAATACAAAAATCAGAATTTTTAAAAAACCAGAATGATTGTAAAAACCAGAAAAAAGTAATAAAGATCGGAATTTAAAATTGAACTACAAGCCAAAAATCAGAATTATTAACTATTAGGTCGGGTCATAATTAGTGTCGCTTTTTTTCGACTAAATTTTTAGGGGTGTTATTTTACAAATATCTTTTTTTCTTATTAACCAACATAAAGATCTGAATCTACTCTTCATTTTAATACCAAATTTAGGTATATATGAGTGAAATTCATAAAGTTATGATTTTTTGAACTTCGCTACCTTGTAGTAGCATTTGCACCATGAATTATAAATTACCAAAAATGGAACATAAGAAACAAAAAATCTTAATGATTTAGTAAATGGGATCGTTGTCTATGCTAGACAGCAAAGAATAGGATTCAAACTTTACTAGGATGGCCGTATGACTCTCAGAAGCAAACATGGTCGAGGGAGAAGGCTGTCATTAAGAAAACGGTCCTGCTCGGCTGGTTTAGATGGAATCCGGTAATTTCTACTGCTGAATTATCGAGGGATATCTGCTCTATACGTATGCCGACGCGTGACTCAAAAAACGCGGGCTGCGCTTAAGGAGAGCAAAACAAATGCCGCGTGTACTAACATCTCAAAAATGAAACAAACGACACGACATCCCCCCCAAAAACGTTTTCTTATAACTCAGCGTAAAATCATCCGATCAGGATGATCTAAACGGTTTTTTAAATCTCATAGAGGGCTTATACTAAATCCGAAATATAAAGTCTGTAAATCGTGCCGAACCCCGGAATTCGAAATTCGACTTTTTCGAAAATTTAGACCTTTCTTAATAAAAATTCGAAATTGTGGCCAACATTTAGAGCTTTTGAAGAGCTTTCGAATGATATATCACACTAACTATTATCATTACGTATACTTGAGAAAATTTGATTCCCGATGATTTCGGGAATTTTGATATTTTCGACCAGAACTCCCTGAATACCTAACGAAAAATTCTCAAATGCTGGTATCCTTTAGAGCATAGTCTAACAGATGATTCGTAATAAAAATAAAAAAATTTTTCGGAAAACTTAATTTTAAAAATCGAAAAAACCCAAATAAAAAAAGCGACACTAATTATGACCCGACCTAATACGAATTCAGACTAAAACACACAAACAAGAACCAAGAAACACAAATCAGAAAAACAACTCAATCAAAAAAAACCAAAAAAGTAAAATTCAAATAAAACACAAAAAAATAAAAATTAACAGAAATACAAGCCAAAAAAATCAGAAATATAATTTAAAAAAATTTACCGTGTCAGAAGGTATTAAAGGCGCATAAATATGAAAAACATTGGAAAAAGAAGCAACACCGCCAAGAGAACAATTTTCTGTTTGGATTCCAATTGAATTTTGTTCAAATCCTCGTAAATCATAGGGGCCACCCAAATAAATTCTGTCAAGTAAATGTAAACATTCTCTTTGACCCAAAGATTTTATATAAGCAAAACGAGTTGATAAAGAAAATATTAAACCATAAAATGGATCTGTGATGGATGTCTTTAAAAAAATTTAAAAATTTATTTAATTTTTCTGTCAAAAATTCCTCTTTTAAAATTTAAATAAAGAAAAAAATTTAAAGCTTTTTTCGTGATTTTGAACGGAATTGACTTTTTGGTATAGCAAATAGAAGGGAATTTTGGAAGAGACGAAAAAAAGAGGAAAAAAGCGCCACACAAGCCGAAATATTACCGGGTTATGAGTTCTTTCTGAATCAAAACTTGGTCCAATTTCAAATTCATGTCAGAATTAAAATGACCTCTTCCAATTTAAAAATTAAAAAAAACCTGATAATCAAAAATTGACTTAAAAAAAGAAGTATCCCCAACTAAACCAGCCAATTCATTAGTCAATTTATATAAAGACCCAAATTCTGGAATTATTAATCTATCTCTAGTATCTTTATAAATTAAATGTTCAACAGAGAATTTAGTTGTATGGCCAGCATGTTCACGAATGGGAAATGGAGTTTCATTTTTTGGAAGAAAAAGACGCCAAATCTTTGAAAAAATTTTTTAGAATGTAAAAAAAATTGAAAATGCGAAATGGTTGATTTGAACCCTTATAACATTTCGAAATGGGCATCAGGGACAAAAAACCAAAGTTTAGCAATAGGTTATCGACAATGCTCTACACGATGGTGTATGTTTCATCGCTAAATTTCGGTGGTAGTTCGAGATGGTTCCTTCTTACATTAGCCATTTATGAAGGAAAACCCCCTAAATAAAAATTTATTTTCATGGGAAAAAATATTAGAATAACTATTTTGGCCCACACACTTGCCTACGTCCCATTCATCCCTAAAATGACTAAAGACTCAAAAATATCCAAAAATAACCATATTTAGCCTCAAAGAAGAGATAATTCGATTAGATAAAAATCCGGTATTTAATTGTAAAACAGCAGCATTCTCTACAGAATCACATTTATTCCATCGAAAATAATCAGTGTTTTTGAATAAATGGGCACTCAAATTATTATAATTTTCCCAGCCAAGAAATGGTTTTACAGCTTAAAGAAGAAAAATAAAAAATTATTTGAGACAAATTTTAAAAAATAAGTCGATAAGGAAAATTAAAAACTCCAAAATTTTAAGTAAAATTCGATTTGAATCAAGTCTCAAGCTCTTCAAAATACTTGGAAGAATTCCAGTTGTAATTTAGTAAGGAATTTAGATTTTTCTCACTCATGCATTTAAATGTTTTTAAAATATTTCGAAAATCATCCAAAACTTAGACCCAGGACCAAAAATGAAATAAAAATTCGAAAATATTAGATTTAAACCTGTGAATCCAAAATTATACCCTCCATGTTCTTTAATTCCTTTAGAATAATTTAATTCTGCACACTCTCCACGGCCAAATATGTTCTTCAAAAAAATTAAAAATTATTTTATGATTTAATTAATTAAATAATACAGTTCTTCTAGCAGTAACACCAGCATCAGTATCTCCACTTGTCTTCATTTCCATTTTTATATTTAATTTTATAGGTCTTTTATTCTCTTGAACAGTAAATTTGACAGAATAATCAGAATCTCCTGAAGTATCGATTTTTGGTAAACAAACTTCAAAAAGGCCCATTTTCTGGAAAATATTTTTAAATTGGCAATACTGAAATTCTATTTGAAAGGTATCACCCGTACTCTTCCCAAACAAAATAATTCACAATTTTGGAAAAATTTTGTTTGAGATCCAAAACTCCTATATGAACGATATATGCTATTTGAAAGAGCTTGAAAAGCCTAGTCAAATGACACCAAAATTAGCCCGTGGCCTCGATTATAGGCTGAGATATTGGGCTCGAAAATTGAATAGGGGGCCCAAGCTCATTTTTGGTACAAAAAAATTAAATTAAAAAACCTGCATATGAATAGAAGCCGTATTTGCCATTCTAATAAGTTGATCTCTAAAAAATAAAAATAAATTTTTAAAATATTTAATAAAAAACTAACAAATTTTTTGCATTAAATAATTCGGAAACTTCTTTAATTAAAGCATCACGTTTAGTCATTGTAACACCATAAAATTCAATAGATTTCAAAACAACGGGAATATTGCTAATTTTGTCATAAAAATAATTTAAAGGAGTTGATTGATTGATTGATAACATTTTTTTTGAAATTTTGTTATAAAATGGAAAAATAAATCTATAAAAATTTAAAAAAATTTTTAGCAAATTTCAAAGCAAAAAAAACGAAGATATTTGGAAAAGTTGATTTTATTTATTTAAAAGTTGATATACAACAAAGGAAGTCCACTAACATTGTTGTAAAGGATCAGAAAAATAAATTTATTGGCTTATTTCAAAGTAGAGACCGCCTGAGACGGAATCGCGACGGGATTTTCCGGGATCCCGAAATCCCCAATTTTTTTTGATTTTCGGGATCCGGGATTTTTTCGAGATTTATCCCTCGGGATCAATTAAAGAAAAAATCCCAACTCAGGATCCCTGAAGTTCGATCTTGCCAGTCTCTATTTCAAAGTATCAGCAGAAATCATGGATCAAAAAAATTTAGATTGAACATTTTAGATATTTTTGTTTAATTTACTAAAAAGAAAGTTAGACGAATTAACATTTTATGATTAGTTACCAAAATGAAAATTTTAAATGTCATTTTGTTAAATAATTATTTAGCCAAAAATTCCCAAATTTTGGGCTACTTTTGTGTTTTTGCTAATTTAATTTTTTAAGATAATGCTTAAAAAATTTAGTAATCCAACTTTGTGGCGGTCAAAAAATCCACATTCTCTTGAATATTTAAGGTTATTTTTATTTTTTATTCACAAAATTCTTTTTATTTTCTAAAGATATTTGCAAGGTGTTTTAGTTAAAAATGAGAAAATAACTGAAGGAAATAGAGCTTTGGTGATTGAAGCAATGCGTGCAATTACAGAAATATTAATTTGGGGGGATCAAAACGATGCTGCTGTTTTTGAGTATAAATTTTTGTTTTAATTTATTTTGAGGGATTGACTTTGATATTTTTATCATTTATCGCTTAAGTTCTCCTATTACTGTTAATTAATATTATCTTAAGTTTTGGTTGGTTGGTCTTATCCATACCTTTTTAGTTGGAAATTTTTTTCTTATTTCTATCCCATCTTTCCTTAAAATTTCTTTAATTTCTCTATTATTCCCACACTTCTCAGAATTTTCATGGTCAGATTTGTGGGGACTATACTGAATTAGCCCATTTATTAATAACCACTTGAGATTTTGAAGATGAGAAAAATTTAATTGTTTGAATAAAATTGAATAAATTTGAATAACCCCTTTTAAAGCCTCTAAATTTTTTGTTAGCCGCAGACTTTTTGCTTAAATTAAAAAAAAATTTTTATTTTTTTCATTTCAGTTTCTTCCTCGAAAGACAGATGTTTTCACATTTTCTTCAAATTATGCAGCAGGCCGATACGAGTTTTGTAAATATTCAATTACTTCAAACATTAAATATTTTATTTGAAAATACTAAAAATGAGACGTCTTTATGTTTGTTTATTTTTTTGTTAAAATTAAAAAAAAATTTTTTTAGATTTTTTGTTAAGCAATAATCATGTAAATTCAATTATTACTCACAATTTTGACTTTTCAAACGAAGAAATAATTGCTTATTATATTTCTTTTTTAAAAACGCTTTCTTTCAAATTAAATTCAAAAACTGTCCATTTCTTTAGCGAGGTTTTTAATTTTATATTTTTTAATTAGAGACTGGACAGGCATGAGTATTTTTAATGTTTTTGATTTTTTGGAATCTTTAAATCAAGTTTTTTTTGGAATTTTATGACAAAAAATTGAATAGATATTCATTTTCTGGGCCTCTTATAAGGTTAAAAAATTCTGACAAAATAATTATCTGTGTATTTTCTTTTTTTCCTTCAATTCTAACACCTTCCTCTCTGTTTTAAATTCTCTTCAATTTTTCAATCCAGTTATCCTTTGAAAATACACAAATAATGATTCTTGTCAAGAAAATTAATTATTTTTTAATCATCTGCCAATTTTTGTTACAAAATTTTTTTAATATTTTATCTGACCTTGTTTCAATTTATTTTAAATTCCAAACATTTAAACCAATTTTTGTTTTAGTTACATTTTTTCAAAAATATTTTCATCACACTTATTTTTTTAGAATGCAGACCAATTTCCATTATTTACTGAAGCTGTCAGATTCCACAAACATTCAGAACCGATGGTTAGAATTGCTGTGAGGACACTTACTTTAAATATATTTAAAGTTTAATTAATTTAAATAAAAATATTCCTCCAATTTTTTAAAGGTTAAAGAACAAATGCTTCACAAATTTGTAATTACCCATTCTCGGGATTATTTTAATAATGTTTGCCAGGAAATTGCTCATCAAATTATTGAGGTTTTTTAAATTTAATTTTTTATTTTTTAAATTTTAATAGATGGATACTTTTGCAAGATCTGCACAAAATGAAGCGAGCAATAGGTTTTTTTTGAAGTAAATTTTGATTTTCTTTAATAAATTTTAAGATCTCGTTTATCTCAATATATAGACGTTCATATTGATAATTTGCATTATTTAAATGATATTTTGGTTATTGGAAATTCTGATTTGGTTTGTTTTTCTAATTTTTATTTAAAGAGGAAAAGCTTTGCCATTTCCTTTAAAACGTATTCAGGGGTTGGATTTTATGGGGTATAACGGGTGAGCGCCGAGCTTTTTTGGAGATCTTTATTGTACATATATTTTTATTTTTTAGCGCCGCAAGTAAAGTTTCTTTTTATTTTTGGAAGGCCAGAAACTAAAATTCTTTATCTTTGCGGCTCAGGCGAAAAGTTTAGAAAGCCGTATACAGACAAATTGCACTTTTTATCTTTTCTAAAGATTTTTCATTTTCGTCCATTTCAGAGAAAAATGCGGAATTTCCTCCATTAAACATCCAAAGTCCTACCAATTTTTTTAATATTTTCAGAATTTATTGGTAATTGATTGTTTACATCAATTTTTAATTGGTCCAATATATTTAGCTTCATTAGCGTCAATTAGAGCCCAACCAAATACTCTATTAATTTCACGTGTTACTTGTTTATTTCTTTTTGCTCAATTTTTAAAAATTATACAAGAGACAGAAACTATTCAAAATGTGCTGACTTCCCTTTTCTTTGGGGATATTAATGATATTAAAACTGAATGGGTTAGAACTTTGAGTGATGGAATTAGTTTGGCTATGCTTAGAAAATGGGATAAATCTGTTGAAAGGTTTTTTTTAATTTTAATTTGATGTTATTCTGATTGAGCTGCACTATTTTTTTATCTTATATATTTTTAGTTATTCTAGAGTTTATTGTTAGACTAATTTTAAAAAATAATCTACAGATAAATCATAGATAAGCTTTTCCCCTACTTTGACATTTTAGTCTAATTTACAATCCATCAAGGGTGTAGCAAAGGAGTGCCCCCCTGAAATGGGAGAAAGGAAAAAACTTGGAGAAGGATGATCGAAAAGGTTTAATTTTTTCGCCTACATCTTCAAAAATCACCTTCAAAATCCAAAATAATCGCCAGTATTTTGGCACACATTCCCTTTTAGCCCCACTCCCTGAACTTGACCTTTGGCTACTCCTTTGCAATCCATTCTTTGTAAAAAAAATTTTTTTACTCAACTTGTTCTTTTTTCTCCGTTTAAATTGGCCATTTTGAGCTCATAACTTTTTCTGAGCTTTTAGCCTATAATTTATAATAATACCCCTATCATAATATCATAATACCCCAATAATAGAAATAATAGAAATAAGCTACCTTTTCCCGGTTCTTATACCCCAAAAACAATTTTCCTATCATAATACCCCAAAAACAATTTCTTTATTTCTATTACACAGTTCTCCATTTCGCAATCACCTATTTATGGCTTTACATGATGGCAATGATGATGACCATGCTTGTTTCTTTGCTCTTATTTTTATTAATTATATTTTACAGAACCAAGGTTTTTTTAAATTTATCAGAGAAAATTTTTTTAATTTTGTAGCAGCACAAAAAGAATTATTAAATGCTGCACAGCTACCTTTTCCCGGTTCTTCAAATAAATGTGATTCTGAATTGGCTGAATGTTTAATTAGAATAATTGAAAATTGCTCTCTTACTGGTATTTTTTTGAAAAAATTTTTTGTTTAATTTTGCTCTTTTGCAACGAGAGGGTTGATGTTTTTTAAATAAAATCCATCGATTTTCTCGGATAATGTAAAGGCGTAATTTTGAAAATTTGTATTCTCTAATTGTAAATTTTTTCAGTGCTAAACTAGACTTACATTAACTCATTTTCTTAGTTCGTTTCATGAAATCGGGGAAGGTTTGGAGTTGTAGTAACCTAAATGTACGATTTTTAGCTTTTTGTTAATCATGCTTTCCCCGAGAATTAAATTAGCGTTTTTTTTCTTTTTTAGTTAATTTCTTCCTAATTTTTAATTTTAATTATTTTTTAGACACACTTATTCGTCCAATAACAGTTGAATTGTGTACTATCGTTCTTCGACATATACTTCTTTGTTTAGAATCTGATCAAGAATTTTATTCTTTAGTTGAATCTTCTGTCAGAAAAACTTTACATAAACTCTCTAATGTTTTGAGAGGGGCTTTACAAACTGAAAAATTCTTTTTGGAAATGTTTGAAGAAGAGTATTATCAATTACAGGTTTTTTAAATTGAGAAACTAAAGTTTTATTTGTTTTTATACAGAAATCTGAAAGAAAAATAAATTCATTTTTGGATGATCCAGGACTTTATTTGCCTCCAAGTAATACACCTTTGTCGTAAGTTTTTTAGAAAGTCTAATAAATTTTAAAATTTGGGCAATGACATTCATGATCAAATTTTTCATTGTACAGTCGGAATCCGATTTACGTACGCTTCCAGTTTGAGGCAGGGTTTAGGGCCAGAATTTTGACGTACACCTCTCCAATATTGACCCATGAGCCTTGATTTGAGTTACATTTTCCTCCGGAGCAATACTTACAATTTTATGTACGTAAGTCGAGGTTCGACCGTGTTCCGTGTATTTTGTGAGAAATCCTCCTATACTGTCAAATTATGACCTCTAACTTTTTTTTAAAATAATTTTGTTAAAATTTTTAGAGGACTTCCTCTATTTAAAAGAATATCTAGTGGAAATGATGAACGAATTCGAAGGGTTTTTAAAAAATGTTTTTTTATAATTTTATATAATTTTTAAGAGTCTTCAATTTTACTTTATTATACGAAAATTTGCTCAAGATTTATCTGGAGAGACAGAAAGTTTTCTTCCAATATCTTCACAATCTGAACCTATGGCCGAATTAAATGATTGTATTAATTTGAGTAAATTTTTTTTATTTTTCTGTTTACGAGGGATAAGTGAGCTTCAGTCAAATCCCATTCTCGTCTACCAATTTTCTCAAAAATTTTTTTGTTTTTTAGTCCATGGTATTCTAGTTATTACAGATTAGGGGTGTCACGGGTTACCTAAAATCCGGACTTTTTTTTGGCCCAAAACCTGGTCCGAAGAAAATTTTGAAGACCCGAAACCCTACCCTGTTTTTCCCCTGGTACAGTTGTGATATAAATCTACCGAGAGAACTGGGGATTGTTTTTGAGCTTTAAAAAGTTTTTAACCTTCCTTATCATTCAATTTAATTATTTAAATCGTTTTTCAAATTGTTTTTTAAATTTAGATAATAGTGATTTACTTGCCTGTACAGTTGTAAATTCAAAAAATGAGCGTCTCTCTCAATTTCTTGTAACTGATCAATTTCAATTTATTTTGGTTGAACCAGATAGTCGAAAATTGGGTTGGGGAATTGTTCGTTTTGTTGCTTTATTACAAGTAATAAATTTTGTTAATTTTTTGAGAGAAAATTAAATTTTAAAAGGATGTATTAATTGTTGGAACTTCAGACAATCGAACTTTGCAAATCAACGTTGAGGTTTTTTTTATTGAGGTTTTTTAGCCTCGAATATATATTTTTTAATTTTTGGGGTAATAAAATTAACAAAAAAAATTTTTTTGTCAACAAAAAATTAAACCAAAAATTTTTTTTGGTTTAAGTGAGGAAGTTAAGGTCAAAAATTATTTTAAATTATATTAGAGTGTCTGTAGAGAGGACCTTCCCTTCGTCCAAGTGACAGAGGTTGAAAATTGTTTTTAAAACTAACAATTGAAATTGACTATGATTTTTCTATTTATGTCCAAACTGCTTTTTCCTTTCCAAATTTTTTTTAAATTTTTTAAGAAAATTTTTTTTCTTTTTTAAGGATGTTGAAACACGAGTCAAAAAATCTGGAAAAAACATTTTTTCTGCCCACTTAATATTTGATGACTATATTCGTTGTATGGCTGCCAAACAACGCCTCAATCGTGGAAGGAAGCGTTGTCGACTTTACAGACTTGGAATTATTGCTGATATGCTCGGAATGCGTTTACCCCATTCTTTACAAACAATGGAAGGTTCTCCAGTTATTGGAATTAATTCTTTGAGATTGCAAGGTTTGCCTGCTCCCGGGTCTGTTCAAAGACTTTCTTCTACTTCGAGACGTAAAAATAGTGAAGCTTCGACAGGAGAGGGGAGATTAGTAGGGGAAACAATACCTCCAGATCCCGATACTAGTAAACAATGTTCTACTTCTGGGGCAATACATCATATTTAGATTTTTAAATTGTAATGAGTCTTTATCTGGGTTGTTTCTCTTATAAATAAGTTTTGGTTAATAAAGCTGTCCAGGACTCGAAACAAATTTTTGTTTTCTTAACTTAAATTTTTGATTTTTTGTTCCTTGAGTCGAAAAATTATTTTTACTTTGGTCAGTCACAAATTGAATTATAATTAAGAGAAACAATTCCAATTACAAACCAATTTTCAATGAAAATAAAAAACTTTTCCTGGTTAATTAATTTCAAGATTAATTTTAAGATTCTATTTAAATGTATATATTTTCTGTTCATTATAATTGTATTTTTTAGTCTTTTTTGACTGCGGATAGTTTATTAAAATTTAATTTGAAATTTAATTATGAATGTTTTAATTGTTTTTAAGCATTTGAATATTTTTTATAAATTAAATTATTTTCTTAAATTTATTTATTAAATTTATTCTTTTTAAAAGTCTAAAAAATGGTTAAAGACACAGAATCCCCTCAACAAGCATCTTCATCATCTGATCAATTACCGCCTTGTTTAGTTGTTTTGGGTATGGCTGGTTCTGGAAAGACTACTTTTGTTCAGGTTAATTTTTAAATAAATTGAGGGATAAAATTTAAGTGGAAATGACGAGAATGATTGGTTTTTTGAGACAAAATCGATGAATTTTGATTTTTATCAAGTTTAGGAGCCATCTGATCCACATTGCTTTTTCTTTACAAAATTTACTTTCTGAAATTTATTTTTTGTTTATTTTTAGCGTCTAACCAGCCATCTTCATTCAAAAAGAACATTTCCTTATTTAATCAATCTTGATCCAGCAGCAGGAACTGTGCCTTTTCCAGCAAATATTGATATTCGAGACACGGTTATTTTTTTTTATTTTTTTGTGAATTTTATTAGAGGATTTTGACAATGAAGTCATTAGTATTAAATACAAAAATAATATTTAAATATTAATTCACTCCGTGTATACGCCCTTATAAGGTTTTAATTTGTTGGTTTATAATTTTTCTCTGAATGAGTTTTTTTCTACTCATTTATTTTTAGGTTGATTATAAAGGTGTAATGAAAGAATATGGACTTGGACCAAACGGAGCAATTTTGACTTGTCTTAATTTGCTTTGTACTAAATTTGATCAGGTATATTTTTTTCAATTGCTAAAATTCTTTTTTCGAAAAGATTCTTTCTCTACTTGAAAAAAGAGATTCTTCAATTCCTTCAATTATTTTGGATACACCTGGACAAATTGAAGTATTTACGTGGTCAGTCAGTGGTTCTATAATTACTGGATCTTTGGCTGATAAATATCCAACGGTTTAATTTTTTGTTTTAAATTTAGGAAAATGATTTTTGGGGCGAGATCCGCAAATTTTTTTCTGGTACCGGAATTTTTCATCGGAGCACATGCCCTCTAGAATTTTTAATTGTTCGAATTTTTTCCTCTAACTGATAAGGAAACATTGATTACTCTCAATGCTAATCGGTATTTTTTTAGAGTTCTATTTTTTTAATTCGATATTTTTTGACCGGCAATGACTCGGCCCCAAAGGATTTTGCAAGAACCGGGTACCATTTTACAATGGGAAGTCTGTAGTCCTCTTATTGAATGATAATAAAATTTATAGTATTGAATTCGCACTAATAGTAAACGATGTTCCTTTGTGTGCTAAAAAATAATATTTTTTTCTTAGATAATTGCCTATGTTGTGGATAGGTTTGTTTTTTTAATTTAATTACATTTTAAAACATATTTTAAAAAATTTTTAAGTGCTCGTTCAACTAATCCACGTACATTTATGTCTAATATGCTTTATGCTTGTTCCATTCTTTATGTACATAATTTTTTGAAATTTTATAATTTTTTATTTTAATTTTAGAGAACAAAACTTCCATTTTTTCTTGTTTTGAATAAATCTGACGTTGTAAGTTTTATAAAGTTCTGATAACTTTTTTAAAAAATATTTTTTAGGTTAATCCAGAATTTGCAGTTGAATGGATGGGGGATTTTGAAAAATTCTCGGTTGAGTTTATTTAAAAAATTTAAAGAGCGATTATTCTAAAAATAATTTTAGAATATTGAAACAATTTATAATTCGTCTCTAAGTTTTACCAAAATTGCCTAAAAAGTATTTTTAAATTTTCGAAAAAATACTTTTGTGTCTCCTCCTTCCTTTTTTTGTCCTCCATTATCCCCCTACCCAATTCCAATCTTTATTTTTTCCAAAAAAATTTTTTTTTATTTAAAATAGGACTCCTTAGATGACAGCGAATCTTGTTATGCCAACGATTTGACACGTTCACTTAGTATTGTATTAGATTCTTTTTATCAAAATTTAAATTGGGTTGCTGTTTCTTCACAAACTGGACAAGGATTTGATAAAGTTTAGAAATTAATTTTTAATTAAATTTAAATTTTTTCAAAAAGGTTTTGGAAATTATAGAAAAATGTAAAAAAGAATATAATAAAGAATACAAACCTTTTTTTGAAAAATTAAATAAAGATAAAGCTGAAATGGAAGCTAAATTTACAGCTGAGAGATTGGCTAGTTTACAAATTGGGGAAATTAATGGAAATAATAATAAAGAAGGGGAAAAAGAAGAAATAATAAAAGAGGAAAAATAAAATATTTTAAAAAATATTGGGAATTTTTTTGTTATAATTTTAAAATAAAAAAATTTATTTGAAGTTTCCGTGTGTAATTGATTGTGCAACAATTTACTGGGAACGTCTGAAAAAAAAACAATTCTGAAACTTTTCCTAAAAACATTTAATTGAGTTAATTCTGCAACGAAAATACATACCTATATTCTGTAAATTCTGAAATGTTTTCCTAAATCATTTTGAAATCTTCCAGAAAATTCTAAGGGGAATTTTAAATTTAAATATTTATTTACAACTTTTTTTAGGGAAATTCAACTCCTCCTCCTTAAATAAAAATAATCAACAGACAAATCTTATAAAATATTTTTAATTTCATTCTTCCTTTTTGGTAAATTAAGACAGATTTTTTATAATCATTTCCTTCTACTTTATTATTTAATTCATTTGTTGAGTATTTTCAAATATAAATTACCGCACACAACAAAAACAAAATCAATGTTTTTAGACGGTCATCTAATCAACATCAACTAACTCTCTTTTCTCTCTCTTTTCCTCTCTCCTCTCAACAACTTCCCCCAAAACAAAATTTCAGCAAATCGGGTAAATCTGTGAGAAAAAAAGGAAAAGGAGAAAAAAAAGTTTTTGGTTGTTTTAGAAGTAATTTATTTTTATATATTTTTAGTCAGTAGTCTACTTACTTCTAACTACCTTCCAATTTTGCACCCCCCCCCCTCCTTCCCCCCAAAAAACTGCGACTAAAATAAAAATAAAGAAAAAGGGCAATGTTGAACATTTTAGCTTTTATTTATTTTCAATCAATTTTTGATTTTATAATTAATTTTTCTATAATTTTGATTTTTCAAAAAATTTAAAAATATTAACGGTGATTTCTATGGTACGTCGCAGACAAAAATTTTTTATTAACTTTGGAAGGCCAAGAAATTTCCTCTTCGAAGATAGGGGTATTTTTTGATGTATTTTTTGCTTCTTTTCAGTCAAACGCAATGCCGCCATTCCCTTTTTTTAAAATTTGAAGATAAACGATGAAAACACCTTTTTATTTTGATTTGAGAGAGAGCATTTTTATTTTGATGGGAAGAAATTTTTTTATTATTTTTTTAATTTTTTGAATGATTTTGCAGAGATTTTAAGTATTTTTTTAAAATTATTTCTTCCATAGAAAAAATAAAATAAATACTAAAAACAACTGATATATATCAATTCTTTAATATTTCCTCGACCCCCGAATTGTTTTTTTTTGTTTTGTTTGTTGATTCCCAAGAGAAATGACGAGATTATAAGTAACACTAGTAAAATGCATGGAGATATGCAAGTCTGCTATATTTTTATTTTATTTTTTTTTCCTTTGGCCCTTTTTAACTAAAAAAAAACTTTTTCTCGTTTTCTGTTCACCTTTTACTGCCAGTCTATTAAATATATTTTATTTTATTTATTTTTACTCTTCTTTAATTCCAACTTGTTTTAACCAAATTGCAGACAATCAATTGTTTGCTGTGCGCCATAAAAACTTTTTTAAAACGCAATATTAAAAACATTTCATATTTCTTCTCAACAAGTTTATTAAAACTTTGCGTTTCCCAAACAATGTTTTTATAAAACTTTTTTTCAAACATTTTATTAAAACTTGTTTTATTTTTCTTCAAAACATGTTCAAGTTTATGAATAATTTAAAACTTTATTTTAGTCAGACAATAATTAAGATCAATTTTAAAGTAAAATTACATACAAAATATGTTCAACTTGAAGGTAAAAAAGGGTTGATTTACTAGAATATAATAATTATTTTTTAATTCTCTTTTATTTTCACAAAATAATTTTATCGCCCAACTTTGTATTTTTAAAAGTTCTACTAATGTTTTACGTGTGTATATTTTATAGACATATATTCACTAATCCTCATAAATCTGAATTGAGTTGCACTTTTTATTTTTTTCCTACCCGTTCTCCCGATAATTTTCACTGTCCATTTATTCACAACTATACAAAATGCTTAAAAAACATAAAAACATTTAAAACTTGTTCACAAACATTATCAACTTTACTTTTCCATGTTTTGAACAATCAAAAACATGTTCAAACTTGTTTTGAGCTTGTTTATAAAACTTTATTCTAAACAACCTTTTTACAGCATGTTTTAATAAACTTGTTTTAATGTTTAAACAAACATGTTTGTTAAACTTATTTAAATAAACATGTTTTTGTTGTTTTAAACAAGTTGATTTTCTGTGTTTCTATCTTCTGGATGTGGGTTATATTACTTTTGTTTGCTTTTGCAACGAGTTAAAAATGTTTAGAGGTGGTCTACCTTTATATTTATTTAACAACAACATTTCTTTATTAAAAACAGAGTAATATACACAAACAAAACAACCGCTTATTACGAGTATTTTTGAAAAGACAGGAAATGTGTGTAGAAAATTTGAAAGGTAAAAAGGAGGAAATAAATAAAAGGGCGGCTTTAAATAAAAGAAAGAAATGAAATGAAAGGGAAAAAGATGGAAGAATTGTAATGATTGTAACTGACAACTACTTTTTAGCATTTTATTTTTAATTTTCCCAGAAGCACTGAAAAAGGAAATAAATTAGTGGTAGTGTCTACTAAAATTTTATTTTTTTTTCTAAATTGTTTTTTGGCCAGATTCTTTCTTTTTTTTAATTCTATTTTTGGAATTTGTCTTAAGACTAAATTTGTGCTTTAATTTTTACTTATTTTTGGTGTTTTGGCGCGTTAACTTTTGGGCGTTAACTAATAAATTGACTAAAAAATTATAATTAATTTATGTGATGGAATAATTTTATGTTCCTTAAAGTCATCTCCACAATTTCAAATTTCTGGTTCAAAATTTCATTATGGATTAAAAATGGTAAAAAGCCTGTATTTGTTTTTGGAAAATTTAATATTTTCACAAATAATCTAAAAAATATCAAAGCAAAGAGTTTTAAACATTTTTAAAAATTATCGTGCGGTTGGTCCTACAAGTTGACCCTACCTCCCCTTCCTTTAGCCCTACTCTTTTCAATTTTTTACATGTCTATTTTTAAGTTTATTTTTTACTAAACCAAAAATAGTTTAATTAAACTCCCATTAAACTTTAAAATTCACATAAATTCCTGTTACTGAATGATACTCTTAATTTAATTAAATTAAAATTTTTTTTTCTTATTCGCAACTTATTTGTCAAACAGTTTTTTTAACTTTTAAACAGCAAAAATTGAAATAAATTTATTTTTGCATAGAAACTATCCCCCTTCCATTCCTCCACAATTTTACAAATCTTTGCTCGTTCATTCAGCGTCAAGGCCACTCCAATTTATTAGTCATTTATTTTTTGGGGAAGGGGGGGGGGGGGGGGGGGGGGGGGAGGAAAGACTTTACTAAATTTAACCAAAAAACTATTTTTATTTATTTATTATACCTTTCTTTGAAAAGCTAATAAATAAATATAAAAATTGATTATTTTGTGTAAAAAATCTTTTCAAAAGAAAATTTGGGCGGGGGAACTTTCCCTCTTCCTTTTATTTATTTACCCCCCCCCCCCTTCCTTTTCCCTTTTTGCCAAGTGGCCATAAAACGGAGAAAAAAAAAATAAATGACCAAGGCCGGTTTGGGGGAAAATGAAAAATAAATAATAAAGAAAGGTGTGAGACCAACGGCTAACTATTAGTCAGACAAAATGGTCAAAGTGCCCTTCTCTTCTTTAAAAATAATTTTTTTGAAAAAAAATTATTTTTTTTATTAAAGAAACCCCAAAAATGTTTTTTATCTGTCAAAATTTTAGTCAGAAATCAGAATTTTGTTTAACCAAAAAATCAGAATTTTCCTTTTCTTCAGTCCCCCCTTCCTTTGGTCAATTCTGACCAAATGACCATTCCCCTTCTTTCTCCTCTCCCCCTTTTCGGCCAGTCAGAGGTTGTAAAATGGACAGTAAATTACCCACTATTACTATTTCCTAACGCTATACTGCTAAAATATAAATTTTCTTTTTCCTCAAACCAATTTTTGTTCAATTGTCATCGCTTTTCATTTATAGACAGCTGAGGTCCAATATATAAATAAATATATAACCTAAACATTTTTACACAATTTCCCTTTACTTCTTTAAAAATATTTTTCTTAAAAAAATTATTTTTTTATTAAAGGCACCCCCCAAAAATAATTTTTTTATAAATTTTCTTCCTTCTCTCCTCCTCTCCCTTCCTCTATTTTATTAACCGCTATTATTAAATGAGCAACAAAAATAATTCATCTAAAAATAATAAATTTAATGATGAAGGTAAAAACAACAATAGTAATAATGCCGATACTAATGGGCCAGAAAAAATAATTTCTGATTGTCTTTATAGTGTGCTGGGGGTGAAGAGGGACGCGGAAGAGACAGAAATTAAAAAGGCGTAGGTTTTTGTGTGAAGGAAGGGAATAATTAAAAATCAGAAATAAAAATTTAAAAAATCAGAATTTTAAAATAAATATTCTGATAAAATTAAATCAGAATTTAAATTTTTAAAAAATCAGAATTATAGTCAGAATTCTGACTGTCGAAAAATTAAAATAATCAGAATTTTACAAATCAGAAAACAGAAAAAAATCAGAATTCTGATTATTCTAAAAATTTTAGTTATCGACGCCTTGCACTTAAATGGCACCCAGATAAAAATCCAGATAAGAAAGAACGAGCTGAACGAAATTTTAAAAGAATTGCACAAGCTTATGAAGTGCTTTCTGATGGTAATATTTAAATATTTTTGGAGGAAAAAAACAAATAAATAAAAATCAGAATTTAATTTTAATAAATCAGAATTTAAAATCAGAATTCACTTCAAAAATCAGAAAAGGAAATAAAAATGATGGTCAATAAAATAAAAATTCTGATTTCATGAACAAAATTAAAAATCAGAATTTATTTAATAAATCAGAATTTAAAATCAGAAATTTGATCGAAAATTAGAAAAGCCAAAATTCTGGTCAATAAATTATAAAATAAAAATCGAAATTCTGATTTTAAAAACAAAATATTTAAAAATCAGAATTTTATTTAAAAGGAAAGCGTCGAGCAGAATATGACAAACACGGATTAACTAAACCAACAACAAATAACCACCACAATAATTACCAAAGAAGACGAACAACACCAGCAGATGCCCATCATCATTTCTTTCCCAGTGGAATGTTTCGTTCCCCTTTTGATGTTTTTCGTGAATTTTTTGGGGATCCTTTTGCTGATCCTTTTCATTCACCTCTTTTTGGCTTTGGACGGGAAAGTGGTGCAGGAATGAGAAGTGAGGAATGAGACATTTTTGATAAAAATTGTTAAAGTTTTTATAACGAGAGTGTAATGCACAAGCCTATGACTCTTAAAGAATATTTCTGGTCAACCACACAAAACCTCTATAATAGACTTTCTATAATTCCGCATCTGTACAACGAATTTCTCTATAATCGACAATTTCCTTTATATGGAGAATTCTCTTAGAAATACTTCTATACAATAGACCCCTCTATATAATGGACCCCTCTGTATAAGCGCTTTTTCTGTTCCTCTTGTTTAAAGTTTTGTTTAGCTTACTAAAAATGAGAGAATATTTAAAAGTCTAGCGAACATTTGAGGCAGTTTAGGATTATTATCAAAGAACCCTTCTATTTACATACATCCTTTATTATTTTGATTATTCTGATAACCCAGGGAGTATTTTAATTTATATTAATTTTTAGGTAGACGAAGACACACAACAAATTTATTTGGTCCATTTACAACAGATAAAGACGAAAATAATTGGTAAAGAGAATAAATTTAAATTTTTCTTTAATTTTTATATTTTTAGTGAGTTTTCTACAGTTATTAGATTCAGTACAAGTACAAAAGAACCCGGAAAAAAGCTAAAAAAGACGATTACACAAACACGTGTTGTTAATGGTTAGTCTTTTAGAAGAGAATCTCTCTCTGTCTTATCTCTTAATTGGTTTTATAAGGGGATGGGATATCTATGAGGGATTTGGTTTTATAAGGGGGTGGGATATTTAAGGGATTGAATATAGGGTAGATTGGGATGCCTGATAGAGGGGGGGGATATTTGAGAGATAAGATTTTGAAGAAAGATAATACGGGATATGTTAGAGTTGTTAAATAAAGACTAGAATTATTTAGGTATTTCAGATATAAGATAGAGATTCTGGTAAATATTTAAAAAAAAATTTTTATTTAAGGAAAAAGGATTATAACAAAAAGGTGAGGAAATTATAATTTTTATTATTAATTTTTAAAAACGTTTTAGGACGGAGGATGATGGAGAAGAGACAGTAGAAGTAACGGAGAATGGGGTGAGTGAGAGTTAGACAGTTTATTAAAACTTGAAAAGTTTTCCGGAAAGTTTTGAAATACAAACAAATAAATATACTTTTCCGGAAGTGTTAGAGTATACATTTCCGGAAATTAGAGAGTAAAATATTACACAGTTACATGAGAGACTGACAGACATTCTCTACCTTTAAATTAAACATTTTTAGAACAGACATTTTTAAAAGTTTCCCTTTCCGGAATTATCTCTAATATTAAATAGAGTAATTAAACTTTTATTTTTAGGTTCTCAAATCAAGACTAATTAATGGTAATTGTTTTTCTTATTTTCGAAAAAAATTATTTTTTTAAAGGATGTCCAGTTGAAATATCTGTTTAATAAAAGAAGAAAAGAAAAAAAAATAATTTTATATAATTTGCCATCCCTTCCTGCCCAACCAAATACTTTTTCCTCAAGAAAAGAAATGACCGAAAATATTTCGCTGCCCTTTTTAATTTTTCTAAACATCGTGTTTTTTTTTAATTTTAAAGTTCTTTCAATTTAATTATGTAAATTCCAATTTTTATTGTTTTATAAATAAAAAGTTTTGATTTTTTGTTTAAATTCTGTTTAGTCTTATTTTACTGGACATATTAATTTTTCTTTAATTTTGTTTTAGTTGAAACATTTGGTTGATATTTAAATAATTATTTTTGGATGTTTAGAGTATTTTCCCAGCTAAATAAGAAAATGAATTTCACTCAAATAGTTAGGCATAAACTTCTTGGAGAAGCTTTGTTTTTTGATTGGATTCTGATGGGGAATTACAGCAGGCTACTTATGGAGGTTTAATATTTTGGTGAATGTTGTGACTTATAGTGGGTTTTTTTTGGCTGGACCGATTTCGACAAATGAGGTGTCATTCGAAAGAGCTTCGAAAACTGAGTCGAACTAGATATGGGGGAAGTCGGTCCGACAATCAGGGGCCGAGTTACAGACCCCTGAAGTTTGAAAAAGAGAAGGGGGGAGTAAGCTCATTTTGAGGTGAAAAATTCGAAAATGCAAATAATAGCTCATTCGACTCAGCTCGACGAGCTGAGTCGAATGACACCAAAATCAGCTCGATATCTTGATTCTGAGCCAAGATAAACAGGTTCAAAATAGTCAACATAAACCTATGGGGCGTAGGCGAGGCGCTTGTGCAAAACCCCGCGCTTCGCGCGGGGTTTTGCGGCACGCGCCTCGCGGGGAGTCAACGGTCGCTGGGTCTGGGTCAGTAACATAAACCTATTCCCATCTCCCTTGTTCTAGACGTACTTGTGGCCTCCGTAGCAGCAAAAACCTCCACATAGACCATAGGTAAGTAGCTAAAACAAACGATCATAACTTGGTCCAATCAAGTCGGATTTCGGTGATTTTGGTGTCATTCGACTCAGCTCGTCGAGAGGAGTCGAATGAGCTATTATTTGCATTTTCGAATTTTTCAACCCAATTTGAGCTTACTCCCCCCTTCTCTTTTTCAAACTTCAGAGGTCTGTAACTCGGCCCCTGATTGTCGGACCGACTTCCCCCATATCTAGTTCGACTCAGTTTTCGAAGCTCTTTCGAATGACACCTCATTTGTCGAAATCGGTCCAGCCAAAAAAAAACCCACTATAAGTCACAATACCCATTTTGGTAATATTTAGGTTATTAATTTTAATTAAATTCATTAAGTCATTGAGCTTTAAACAGCTTTGAATTAATTTTTGTTGAAGCCTTTTTGGTGTTCAAATTTACCAACTTCCCTAAAACCATATTCCCAATTTTATCATCCTATTAGACTTAAATTAGTTCAAAAATCCTTTTATAGTTAACCGTTTTTCTTCTTTTAACTTTGCTCTTTGCATTCTCCTCCCTGTATACAAACCAAACTTTTTTTACCCCTGTTAACATAAGGATATTTACCCAAAATATTAAAAAAATACAAGTTTAGTCAGCTAATAAGAATCGAACCTTTGATTGTGTTTTGTTTAAATATTTAAAGATGCTTTACCAATTAAGCTACAGAGGCGGAAACTGCTTTTTCTGTCTTCCCTAATCTTTAACCTTTTCCTAAGCTATTTTAAATACTCCCTAGATGAATCATCCTTTTAAATACATTTCCAATTTGCGAGTGTTTTTAAATATTTTATTTGATCTGAATAAATTTTTTTTCTTTTTTAGGTTTAAAATAAAATGACTTCTTTGATGCCTGTACGTTTTCAAGAACTCTTTTCTGTAAGTTTCTTTGCTAATTACTAAGCTTTTCTTCTATTTTAGTTGAAAAAGGCTAAGATCAATCCTCGTAATATCTGTTTTGGAAATGTGACTATGGAATCTGACAAGTACATCGTCGTTAAAGAGGAAAGGAATGTCGTTACTATAAATGTTGCTAACCCTGCTGATTTTGTTAGAAAGCCGATTAGTGCCGACTCAGTTATGATGCATCCAACTTCGAGCATTTTGACTATTAGATGTTTGCAATTTCATTACTTTCTTTTCTTCTAATAATTTTTTGTTTTAGTGGGTAAAGCCCTGCAAATATTCGATTTGGGATTAAAGATGAAACTAAAAGCTTACCATGCAACAGAAGATATACTGTTATTGACATGGATTAATCCAAATACCATTGGATTTGTGACAGAGACTTCTGTGTATCATTGGGCACTTGCTGGTTTTTTATTTTGAATTTAATGTTAAATATCTTTTAAGGTAATGATGAACCTGTTAAAATGTTTGATCGTGCACCTTTACAGAATGGTGCAATAACCTTTTATCGAGCTACTTCTGATGAAAAGTGTCTCGCACTTATGGGACTTACTTCTGATGAAAAGTTAACACTTTTGCGATTTCCTTTAAAAGTTTTTTTCTTTTATAATTTCTAAAAATTAATTTAAAAACAGGCTTTCCGAACTGATGGGTCAATACAAATTTATAACACAGAGACAAAGACCTCACAAATAATTGAGGCTCATGCTGCTTGTTTTGTTCAATTAAAAATGGAGGGGAATCCAAATCCAAGTAGTCTCTTTTGTTTTTCTTTACGTAATGCAGCTGGAGAAGGAAAGGTTATTTGAAGGGATTTTCTATTTTTTATAAATTTTATTTAGTTGACCATTATGGAAGTCTCACAAACTCCTCCTGGCAACAAGCCATACTTAAAGAAAACTGTTGATTTCGTTTATCCTGCTTGTGCTACTTCAAACTTTCCTCTTACAATGCAGGTTTGTCTTAGTTATTTAGAAGAGGGATTATATAAAAATAGGAGTTTTTATTTTAAAGTTTTGTAACTTTTTATTTAATTTTAAAATTTGTCCTCAAATAAATTAATTTTGTTGTATAATTTTATGAAGAAAAGTTCAAAATTAAAATACCTCTCTTTACCAATAGTGCTTGGGTACAAACATTCAAGCACTGTTTAAAAGTCTCCTCAATTTTACAAGTCTCGGACATTTTCTTTTAAAATTGTCTAACCTCGCTTTTTTAGGCGTCTTCAACTTATGGAATAGTGTACATTATTGACAGATCTGGATATGTTTTTGTGTTTGAGATTGAAACGGGCTGTTTGATATACACGGTTAACATTTCGCCAACTATAATTTTTATTACAACTGAACATAATAATGGTTTTCTTGGAATTAATGGAGATGGGCAGGTTTTTTTAATTTATTATGAATATATAATTACAAATACATTTAAGGTCCTCTCTTTTTGTGTGGATGAAGAAACAATTATTCCTTACGCCACCGAAAAATTAGGAAACCCTCATTTGGCTCTAAAATTGGCATCTCGTTTAAACCTTCCTTTGGAGTCTTTGAGGGAATTGATTCGTGAACAGGCTCCGGCGTTGTCAAGTATCGAAAGTTTTGATGCTTCTGATCCGTCACCACCGCAAAACGTTTATTTTTATATTTTTCGTAATTTTTGTTTTTTGTTTATTAGATAGAAACAATTTCTGGTCGTTCTGATTTAATAGATGCAACCCAAGCTGAGAGCAAGCAAAAAATACAAGACGAAAAATGTGCAAAGAAAATACATAACGAGCAATTAGAGCATAAACAAAATGTTGGGGAAGACGATTTGAAGACTTCTTTAAAGTCAATGGGTGACGTTCTTCCTGAGCAGACCCCAATGAGTTCCAGCAGCAGTGGAGAGGTTCAAAATGATAAGAAGGTAGTCAACCAAGCTTCTCTTGACAACGTTTTGGATGAAGAATTTTTACGCAAATTCGATTTTTTGATCGAAAATGAAGATTACCATGAAGCTTCAAAAATGGCTGCAGCAGCTCCTCAAAATACTCTTACAACGCTTTTATTCCGAAAATTTGATTTATTAGTCAAAAATGGGAATTATACTGAAGCTGCAAAAATGGCTTTAACAGCCCCACAAAATATTTTTAGAACACCCGAAACTCTACAAAAATTCCAAAAAACTTATCCTCTTCTTAAATATTTACAAATTTTATTAGAACAAGATTCTTTAAATAAATGGGAGTCGTTGGAAATATGTCGAATTGTTTTGGTTTTTAATTTGAATATTTTTTAATCGCTTCCCTTTATTTTAGGGCCAAAAACAACTTGTTGAAGAATGGTTGTCTGAGGGAAAGTTGGAATGTTGTAAGGAATTGGGGGATTTGGTTAAGCAATATGATGTTGAACTAGCATCAAAAATTTATTTTCGAGGAAGTGTGGAAGAATGATTATGATGAGGGTTGATGAATAAATAAACTGAGTTGCCATATTTATTTTTTTAAGTTATTTTATACATACTTTTATCAAAAATTATTTTTAAAAAATAAAATCACAGAATATTAACATTAAATAGTAGTAAAAATTAAAAATAGATTAAATAACCACTGAACAGAGTTTTATACTGAAAGGTTATTTATTTATCCAAGGGCATTTCTGAAAGTAGTATGTAGAGTTTACTGCAACTCTCTTTTCGATGATTTTTACTATCTTGGCCAAATGATTTCTAGATTGAGCTAGTTCATTCTGTGATAGTACATTTACATAATTGCTTTAATTTTTTTTTTCAACTAATTAAAAATTAAAATTACTTGAATTGAATATTAAAGCAGCTTTTTTTTATTTGTTGATATTTTATTCAAATTTTTTTAAATTATTTATTAGAGTTTTTTATATTGTCTGAATTTTGTTTTTAGCCTTAAAAAGTTAGAAATGTCTTTTCCTGCAAAATCAACAATTATATTGGCTTTTGGAATGTTTGTTATTATTAGTATTATGTTATATCTAAAAGTTGATTCTAATGAGAGGAGACGGCAGGCTACTTATGGGGAGTCTAATATTGTGGTTAGTTACATTTAATTTTAAATTTAGAAACTTGCGAATTGTCGGGTTCTAGACGACACAAGTTCGGGAACCAGATTTCGCATAGGCGTTCAATTTGGGCTAGGCCACGTATTTAATTTATTATTTTCTGGATTAGGGATAGTTGCATTGGGATTCCGTGTACTGATTTGATTATGTAAATTTTTTAGTTCCGATTTAATTTAGACTAAAGTCACTTATGTTGGGGGGGTCGCAGGAATCTGTTAGGGGCGTCTGGATTGAAACTTTTTAGGTCGTTGGTTAAGCCAAAAAGAAGGTCGAGGTCTTAACACCTAATTTTCATTGAGGATTTATTAAAGTATTTTCCCCAAGTGAATCCATTTTTTGATTAAAAATTGGAGTATTTATTTATGGCCACTTAATTTTTATTTTTCACTATTTGAATTCTACCTCTATATTTTAATTAATTAAAAAAAAATTATTTTTAGAATGATAATTCAATACAAAAATTGGAAGAACGTTTGGAATCTTTAAATAAAAACGCTCAAAATAATAAAAAATTATTAAATAAAATTGAATCAAAAATTGAAAATTCGAATAATAAAGAAGAGAAAAATGAAGATTTTTATCTAAATAATGATGGAGGGGGAAAGGATTTAGAGGAAAATAGTAAAAAGGTTTTTTGGTTTGAAATTTTGTTATTAATTTAAATTTTGTTTTTAAAGGTTAATAGACATATTTCTTCTACAACTTCCTTTCAATTTTGTTCTTCTAAAAATTTTTCTTTATCACACAATGCTGTTAGCGATGTTCAGGTTTTTTTAAATGTTTATTGCCAAGGGCGTAGCAAAGGGGTTGATTTCGAGGGGGGCTGACATTGGGTGTGGGCCAAAATTTTGCCGTTTATGGCTACGCCCTTGTTTATGACAGCAAAAAAAAATAGCCGAAAATTCATTTTAAAAAATTTTCCCCAAATATTTTAGATGTTATCAGTTTATGATATTTTGCCTTTTGACAACCCAAATGGAGGTGTTTGGAAGCAAGGATGGCCGATTACTTATGATCATCAAAAAATAAAGGAGGAAAAACGGCTTGAAGTTATTGTTATTCCACACTCTCATTGTGATCCAGGTTTTTTTAAAATATTTATTTCCGTCCTTTCATCCAATCAAAACTCTGATTTTTTTCTGAACGATTTGTTAAAAATAAGAGAAGAGTCCTATATTTTTAGGATTCCTCATTTTACATAAAAAATCAAAATATAAAAGGTTTGATTAATATTGAACCTGTTAGACCCCATTTTTTCATCCCAAGTTTCTTCCTATATATTTGCGAAATGATCAGACTTCTTCCCTTCTTTCATCCCAATTTTCCTTCCATAATGAGGAAATAAAAATTAATTCCTTTTGATTTTTTGTAAGCAAGATATAGAAAAGCAATTGGAATAGAAGAAATGAAAAGTCTTACCTTTCTGTGGATATATAGGAAAAGGTTGGGAAGGAAAAAATGGGGTCTGTCAGGTTCAATATTACAAAGGTTTATCCCTGGACCACTTGTAAATGCTATTTTATTTCGGGTTTTAAATTTTACTACTATCTGGATCCTCCTTTCTTTTTCTTAAAAAATATTTTTTTATTTTTTTAAAGGTTGGATAAAAACATTTGAAAAATATTATGAGGATCAAGTCCAAAATATTCTCAATTTTATGGTCACTCATTTAACTCAAAATAAAGATTTAAAATTTATTTTTGCCGAAATAAGTTTTTTTGAACTTTGGTGGTCTAAACAAACAAACAAAATTCGAGAAAAAGTTAAACAACTTTTAATTAATGGACAATTTGAAATTGTGACTGGTGGGTGGGTAATGACTGATGAAGCTAATGCTCATTATTATTCGATTATTATGGAATTATTTGAAGGACATGAATTTTTGAAAAATCAATTGGGTGAGTTTTTTTATTTAGAAATAATTTTTTAAATTTTGATAACATTTTTGTGTTTCGAATCTATACTACTTAGTTTTTAGTTTTCCTATTTTTTAAAATTAACTTTAACTACCCAAAATTTATACCCCAATAAGAACCTAACGAGTCAGAACCAACTTAATTATCTAGTCAGTGTTTTAATTCTGAGCAGGCATAAATACCGTATTTATTCTAATATAACCACTGTGGTTCATTTTCAACCCCTCAACTTATATGGTTATATTATAGACTATGGTTCAGATATACCTAGATGTGGTTTTATTAGAATAAATCGTGTTAATCCAAAATTCTCATAGGTCCAAACTTTATTAAAATCCAAAAAAATCCTTTTAAATTTACTAACAGATTACATACCTCGCAATCATTGGTCAATCGATCCTTTTGGTTTAAGCCCAACATTGGCATATTTATTAAATCGTTCTAATTTTACCCATATGGCTATTCAAAGAGTACATTATTCTGTTAAAAAATATTTGGCTCAAAAAAGGCAATTAGAATTTATTTGGAGACAATTATTTGCTGGAAAGTCAACATCTACAGATATTATTACACATATGTATGTACTAAATTATGAATATTAAATTAATTTAAATTAATTTTGAAAGGTTTCCTTTTTATTCATATGATGCTCCTCATTCTTGTGGGCCTGATCCGAAGGTTAAAAAAATTTTTTGATTTTTTAATGGATTTGGGATTCTTCAAAACCCCATACTTTTTTTAGAATTTTTTGTTTAACATTACCAATACTCTTGAAAATTCTGTTCACAATTCTATCTTTGTTGGAAGTCTAATTTTTTAATTTAACAATAAGCCCTTAGAGTAACTATTTTTAACCAATTATTTATAGTATTCAATTTTTTCCCAGATTTGTTGTCAATTTGATTTTCGAAGACTCCGAGGTCTTTTAACTTGGTAATTCCTTAATATTTTTATATTTTCTATACCAATTTTCAGTCCCTGGGGCGTCGATGCATCTCCAATTACGCCCTCAAATGTCGAAGAACGTGCTCAATTACTTGCTGATCAATACAGGAAAAAAGCACAATTATATGGGTTTAATACAATTTTGGTTCCACTTGGAGACGATTTTAGGTTAAATTATTAGTGTTAGTATATCCTAACCCCTTTTGAACAAGGAGCTTCTGCAACTTTGAAAAAGTGTTATAAAACTCTTCCCTAACCAATTTTTTATTAAAAATTAAAATATTTTTTCAGATATGATATTGAAAGAGAATGGACAGAGCAATATACAAATTACAAAAAACTTTTTGATTATATAAATTCAAAAAGTGAATGGAATATAAATGCTCGTTTTGGGACACTTTCTGATTATTTTGAAGTTTTAGAGCGTCGATTAAGTGAAAAAGAAGAAGAAAATTTGATTGAAAAAGAGCAGGGGAAATATCGACATAATGTTGGCAAAAAGGGAAAAAGACAAGGGCCTTCTCCTTTACCTATTTTATCTGGAGATTTCTTTACTTATTCTGATAGAGATGATCATTATTGGAGTGGTTATTTTACTTCTAGACCCTTTTATAAACATTTGGATAGAAGTTTACAACATTATTTGAGAGCAGCAGATATATTCTTTTCTTTGGTTAATTGGAAGGGAAAAAGTATGTTTTGATTAAAGGAAGGAGAAAGGAATGGGGGAAAAAGGAAAAATTTAAAAAAAAATTAATTTAAACAAAGGATAAAATAATAAATAATTTTTCTAAAAAAAGTGCCAACAAATATTTCTACACTCTACAACAGTTTAGTCAATGCAAGACGTGCCCTTAGCCTTTTTCAACACCATGATGGTGTAACAGGCACGGCTAAGTCATTAGTAATGGATGATTATGGAGAGAAGTAGGAATTTTTTAAAAAATTTCTGTAAGATCTAAACGGTTTCACTGTTTGTTTTGAACGGTTCCAGTTGATAAAATTTAGTTTCTTAACAAATTTAACTCTTGAAGTCGTCTTTTTGTTTTATAAACGCTTTAACTTTTTATCGGACTGTCCCTGGAACCGTTTGGAACTGAAATCCTTGGAATAGGGAAGACAACAATTATTTTTAATTAAAATTTAAATTCACAACATTTTTTCTTCTCAATTTAAGAATGTCACAAGCCCTTTCTGATACAAAAAATATAATTGCAAGGTCATCAGAATTTCTTCTAGGAATTACTCCAAAAGACATCAATCAACAACAAAAATTCAAAATTGATTTAGAACATTTTAAAAATAAATTGGCAGAGAAAATAATTATTAAAGAAGAATCAACATTAATAATTACAAATTCACTTGGACATTTTAGAAAAGAAATTGTTTGTATTTATGTAAACAATATTAAATTAAAAATTGTTGGAAATGATGGAAAAATAATTTTACAACAAATTGGTAAGGGGTTTTTGAATGAATTCTGATTTTGCTTTGTTTTTTTTCAGAAATTCTGATTTATTTATTTATTTGTAAATTCTGATTCCATTATTTAAGCTAAAATTTTGATTTATTTTAATTCTGATTTTAATAATTCTGGTCCCAATTAAAAACACAAAAATCAGAATTTATTTTTTGAAAATACATTTTTCTTTTGTGTTTTTAATTTTTTGTTTTGTTTTAATTTTTCAATTTATTTTGTGTTTTGTAAATAATTCTGGTTCCCAATTAAAACAGAAAAAATCAGAATTTATTTGGAAAATACATATTTTTGTGTGTTTTTTTCTTCCATTTTTACTCTTTTTTAATTTTAGAGCCAATTTTCTACATGGATAATTTAAATGAATTATCAATTTATAAAGACAAATATTCTCTTTGTTTCGAAGTTGAATTACCCCCTTTTGGATTAATTACTTTAAATGTTTTGGAAGGTGAAGATGTTGAAAATAAAGTTAAATTACAAACTTTTAAAACAAATATTGAATCGATGTTGGTTTTTTTTTATTTTTGTTAAATTGTATTGGTGGTTGTGGTTATATCATTTTTTGACTCATGCAGAATTAATCATACTCTTAGCAGTATATAACTGGGGCGTAGCCAGAGGTTCGGTTTCAGGTAGCACACCAAAATTTTGGCATTTACTTCGACGTTTTGAACACAAAGTTTGTTAGTCATATAGACAGAATTTATCTTTCGCTCAATATTTTTTCCTTTTCCCCATTTCAGGATATAGTCTTTAGCTCTAGAAGCCCCCTGGCTATGCCCTTGGTATATAGAGGGATCTAGTTAAGACAAAACTTTATCTCCGACTTGTCAATCCACCTAATACTTTTACTATAAACACTTCTTTATTTAATTTTTAAAAAGTTAAAATAATAATTTTACTAGATTATTTGAATCAACCTCAATTAAAGAAAATAATCAACGACAACAACAATTATATTTGTCAAATAATTACATAAAAGCATTTTTCGATCCAATAACTGGTTACCTTAAGGTTTTTAAATCTTAACTTTATTCTAACAAAAAATAATTTTTTAAGTCAATTAAAGACAATAATGGGGAAGAATTGGATATTTTTCTTTCTTTTGTTCGTTATGGGGCTAGAGGGAAAAATCTTGGTGAATTTTTTAAATAAAGATTGAAAAAAGTTTTAATTTTAAAGCAAGAACGGATGGAGGTGATTCTCTGTCTGGAGCTTACCTTTTCCTTCCTGACGGTCCAGCTGTTGAATTGGAATCAAATAAAAATCAATTTGTAATTGTGAAAGGAATTGTTAGAGAATATATTTTTGTAAATGGTTGGTATTTATTTGTTAAATTAATTAGTTTGGGGACGTTCGCAAATTTCGTTTTTGAGTATCTTGTTTTGAAAGTGTTACGAAATTGCGGATGCAACTATGCCAAGCAGCATTTTTTAATTTTAAAAAATTATTTAAGTGCTGTCTATTCTAGAGTGCCAGTTCTAGAATTGGATTTGTCCTAGAGAGCCAGTCGGTCCATGACATAATTTTAGGATATTTTCTGAATTGAAGGCTTCAATTCTTTAAAATTTTCTTTTTGATTTCATATCTGTAATTCTCTTGCCCTCTTTTTAGCTCTTTTTGTTTATTTTCTAAAAAAAGTTTTTCTTTTTAAAGGTCCACCTGATTTTGGAATTAATCACCAATTAATTTTGGATAAAAATTCAAAAACCTTTACTTTATTAAATCATGTCAATATGGAATCTTCTTGGTTATCTAAATCCTATAAAAGTTCAAAAAATTTTGAATTGGCTATGAAACTTAAAATTCCTTCAATTAAACAAGACAATTTTTATACAGATTTGAATGGTTTTCAGGTTTTTTTAATTAAATTAAAAAATAATTTTAACAAAAAAAAAGATGATAAGACGTCGAAAACAGAATAATTTGCCTCTCCAAGCCCATTTTTATCCAATGCCTGGATCTGCTTTTATTGAAAATTCGAATGATATTCGTGTTTCTCTTTATGGAAGACAAGCTTTGGGTGTTGCTAGTTTGGAATTGGGTTTTTTTTAAATTTAAGAAAAATTAATTTTTGAAAATTTTTATAGGTGAAATTCAAGTAATGTTAGACCGTAGATTATTACAAGATGATGATTTGGGACTTGGACAGGTTTTTTGTTTGAAATTAATTTTATTTGTGAATTGTGGGAATTTCAAATTCTGATTGTGAGTGTAATTCTAGTAGTTTTTTTCAAGTTTATAATGGGGTTGTTGGCGACCGACTAATTTTTCCCTGTAGCGGCTCAAATAGAGAAGAATAAGAGCTTTGAGCCTACACTGGGAGAAATTAACCGGTCGTCAACAACCCTAATTTGTAAGTAAACCCGGTTTAATTTCCCTCTTGTTTTTAAATAATTAAATATTTTTTTTCAGGCAGTTGACGACAATATTAGGGCAGAAAGCCAGTTTCTCTTGAATATTGAAAGATTTACTGCTACGAGGTCTGTCTCAAACGACACTGTTGGATTTCACTCTTTATTAGGAGAGTATGCTTCCCTCAAACTTCTCTATCCACCAATTATTCTTTTTAGCCAAAAAAGTATTTTGAATAATTTTTTTTCTAAAATTAAAAATTATTTTAAAGCTTCATTACCTACAAATTCATTTTCTGGCCTTAAAAATCCATTCCCTTGTGACATTCACCCCGTCGCTTTTCGAACACTTAGCGAGTCGACAATTTATGGATTGGGAAACACAATTAGAGATACTTCCCCAAAATATGAGGCTGCTTTGGTGTTGAGAAGATTTGGAATTGAATGTACTTTGGATTCTTCTCTTGATGATAAAAATTGTGGAGTAAATACTTTGAAGGGAGGAGAGTTCAATTTATCGGATATTTTCATCCAAACGCCAAAATCATTTAATAAAGGAACCCTAACTTTGTTAGAAGATACAAAAAATGATACCTCAAATAACAAAGGAAAATTAAATATGGAACCAATGGAGGTGCTAACAGTGAAAGTATTATTTTAATTAATTTATTTTCTATAAATTCTTCTCTGGTCAATATTTTCTTTTAAATTATCTAATTCTTTTATTTATTCTAAAATATAAAAATTTTCCAAAAATTTTCTCGAAACTTCCTTAGGAGGAATTACGATATTAACAAGGCCTGAGCAAATTTTAAAAACGAAAAAGGGAAGAAACGGTAAAAAGAGAACCAACGGGGAATGAGAACTTGCACACCTTGTTAATATCATCATATACTATTCGCTTATTCTTTCAAATAAATATTCGGGTTCATTTACGTCTTTAGGTCATAAATATGTATTTCTTGTAAAAGGACTTTTTAGGAGGGAGTCTTAGTGGTAGATAGAAATTAATTTTATTATTTTCTTTAAATAAATTGCTTTATTTTTTTGTATTTTTTGTTAAATTTCAAAAAGTTTTAAATAAATAAAATAAATGTATTTTAGAGATTCTTTCCCTTCTTAACAAAACAATTAATTTTCAACTTTCAACATCTTTTTTCTTTCTCCCTCCCCTTTTAGGTTTAACATTAACAGGTTCTTCTTCATTAATTAAATCTAATTTTCCACTACACAAATCATTTAATTTGGCTATTTGAACGGCTACTCTTTTAACATTTTCCTCTACTTTGAAGTATGGCTCTTTAAATTGTTTTAATTAAAATAAATAGTGAATACAGTTTTTCTTGAGTGTAAAAACAAATAATTAGCACAAAAATATCCTTTTAATCCCTAAGGTTTAGGCTTTGAAAGTTTTAGACTTGATATCAACATTTCGGCGCCGCAGATTTGACGGCATCTAAAAACGCAGTGATCGGGAACGGGAAATGAAAATTAACCGGCCGGGACCCGAACCGGGAATTACGATCCCGGTTTCATCCCGGCATCTTTAAAAAGCCGGGAAACCGGGTCCCGATCCCGATCCGCTCTCTAATTTTAAACAAAACACTTACGTATTTTGTCCAATTTCTCTGCCTCTTCAGCAAAATTTTCGACATCCAAATCCAAAGCAACACTTTCAACAGTTTTGTAATGCCTTTGTAACATTGGATTAAAAAATTGATCGGGCTCAAAACGAGTCGTTAATTTATCAACAAATTCTTCTGCCGCCAAAATTTGTTGTTCTTTAATATTTTCAGAAGAACAGATAACACTAGCTGGAATTGGTGGAGGTTTGTAACGATCAAAAGCTCTCAAATCTCTAGCTTCTTCAGTGAACGGTAATTCGAGTAAATGAAATCCTTCATATAAATGTTCGCTAAGAGAATTCTGAAAATTATTTTAAAAAATGTATTTTTGCTATAAAAACACAAAAATCAGAATTCTGATTTTTATTAAAATACAACTTTATAGTTAAAATACAAAATATTCTGATTGTATTTTTAAATAAATTCTGATTTTAATAAACAAACACAAACATTTCCTTCATTTCCCTCTCCCATTGATTGAGGAACTAAAGCACAAATTTGAGGTGTTGTATTTGGCTTTTGTGTATATCTAACTAGTATAAAAAGATTTCTTTCCAAACATTGTTTTAATAATACTCTGTAGAGAACAGAACTTCCAGAAACTAACTGAAAATGAAAGAGAAATTCTGATTTAAACAAAAACACATTTTGTTCTGATTTTTAAAAATACAAAGAAAATACAAACATCATCGAGAGGGTAAATAAACTTTGCTGGGCTCATTCTATGTGAAGGCTTTAATAAATGTAAAGGTTTAAATCCAATAACTGTTATCCCTAAATTTAAACAAATTTAAAAAATTCCGCAAAAAAATTTTTTTACCAGGCCGGTCAAAACGTCTCAATTTTTCCAATTCTTCTCTATCCAAAACAACATTAACACCCCCAACATTTTTAGAAAAATTAATTTCTCCTTCAAAATTTTCATTATTTAAATATTCTTGTATTTCTCCATTATTTTCTTCTTCCCCGTTCATTGTTGAATTTCCTTCTAAATCCTCTTTTGGTAAATAATGGGTTCTGCATTCTACTCTAAAATAATAAAAATTCTGAAAAATATATTCTGGTTATTAAAAATTCTGATTTTCTGATACACTATAGATAAATCAGAATTTTTATAAAAAACACAAAAATATTCTGATATAAAATACAATATATTCTGGTTATTTAAAATTAAATTCTGATTTTCTGGTATACAAACCAAACAAATCAGAATTTTAATAAAACAAAAATACAACAAATTCTGATATATTTTTACTGTTGTAATTAACAAGTTTTAATTAAAAACATTTCTGACCTTTCATTTGTTTCAGAATCCATAAGAATTGCTGCAGGTTTTCCTTGGGGCTTGATTAAATGATATAATCCAACAGCTAATTTTAAACCATCCCCAAGATCAAAAGGTAGTGAAGTAGTTGAACGTAATGAATAATTTTTGAAAAAGAAAAAACTAAAAAAAGAACTTTTTTAAAAAAATTAAAAAAAACTCTTAACTGTTTACTAATTTCTTCAAAACTTGAAAAACGAGAAAATGTTGGATCTAATTGTTTCTAAAAATAAATTTTATTTTAATAAAAAATTATTTAAATTTTTTACCCAAAATTGTGTAGCTTCATTTTCTTCAATTTTATTTTCAATTAACAAAACTTTAATTTCTGTCCCAATAAATTTTATATCCAAACAAATTCGTTTTTTACAACTTTGCTAAAAATTTTAAAAAAATTAAAAGGAATACATATTATTTAAACTCGACTTGAATTTCTTCATCAATTTGTTCCTTGTCTGTAGTAACTATTGTAATTACTTTCTTTCGCAAAATTTTACCACTAAAAATATAAAAAAATTCATTAGTCAATAAAACATGTTTGTAAGAATAAAATTTTCAAACAAAATATTAAAACATGTTTGCCAAACAAATGTTTTTGAAAAGAAAAACAAACATGTTTTAAAGAGTTAGAGAAATATAAAACACGTTTTTTTATATAAAACATGTTGTTTAAGAATAAACATGTTTAATAAAACAAGTTTATTTTTAAACAACTTAATAGACTAAAAACAAGTTTATTAAAAACAAGTTGTAAAAACTTAAAAAAACATGTTTTTCCCTTAAAGTTTCTCTTGTCTATTTTAACACAAACATTAAAACATAAAAATAAAAACTTACGAATGTGTAAGCATACTTTGACACAAAAAGAAAAGTTCTGCCCAATTACTCATACCAGAATCACCCAATTTTGGTAAAAGAAATTCTTTTAAATTATTACATTTAATAATCTCATCAAGTTTTTTAACATATTCAGCATCAGTTACCCCCAATTCTTTATCGGTAAAAATACAGTCAATTTTGTGTGTATTGTTCGAATTGCTTGTATTCACAAAAATAACTGAACATAATTCGCTTAAATCCCCCATACAACAAATTTTATTTATTTGATCACGAACTGCCTTTAAAAAAATTTTTTTTGACAAATTAAAGAATAAAGATACTTTTAAAGCTAAACGAAAACGCCATTCTCCCTCCACAAACATATGTTCCCCATAATCGACAACAAACAATTTTGCTTTGTTTCCGCCATCATAAATTAAAGTTTCTTCACCTTCTTGTTGCTCCCATTCCATTTTAGTATATGTTTTGTTTTAAAGTAAAATATTTAAACCTGTTAAAACAAAACAAGTTTATTTAAAACATTTTAGAGCATGTTTTTCTAAATACTAAAAACATGTTTATCCCAAACAAAACATTATTTAAAACATGTTTGTTTGTTTAGGTTTTAGACAAGCATGTTTTTAAACCTAAAATATCAAAACAAACTAATTAAAACAAATAAAGATAGAAATAAACTTTGTAAGAAAAACAACAAAATATTATTGCTAAAATATTTATTTGGTTATGCTAGGTAACAAAAGAAAAATATAAAATGTTTTAAAATAAAGAAGAAAAAAAACAGTTAAAAGTTCAATTATAATACAAGAAATACTTACTAAAAGGATTTTCTCTAGTTATTAAAGAGAATCTTTATAACCAAAGTTAAAAATTTATTTGTTTGTTTTATCACTAAGCAAATGCTCCCAATAAAAAATTTCTCTTGAAAATTTTTTTCTAAAATTTTCAAAAAAAAGTCCCTCAATAAACAAATAAAAATTGCGACAAGGCATATAAATAATATTCCCCCAAAATAAACCCGAAAAATCCCAAAAAAAATTTTTTCCAAACAAATCTTTACAACCTTCCCTTCTATTCATTTCGATTATCTACAGGCTGGTTATCTTCAGCACCCCAATTAAATCCACCTGGTCTTTGTTCTGGAGGTATACGTACCAATGGAGGAGGATCAAATAAACGTTTGAGAATGTTGGGGGTTTGAAGTACTCGAAAACCTCCGGGCTGGTTAGGAAATATATCTTCTAAGAAAAAGTAAAGATGCCCACAAGCAATACCTTTTTTGAAAAAAATTTGAGAAAATAAATTTAAAAAAATTAAAAAAAAAAACCAAAAACATCCACCATTGCATTTTGACCAAGTAAAAGTGAAAAGAAGAGCAAAACCCAAGGCTATAAAAATAGAATAATCAACAAATTTTGTCCTTTCTTTTCGTATTTATGGTAGGTACTACGCAGCACTCCAAGCATGGTGGGGCCCATTGAAAATAGCTGACAAAACAACCCCTTCGGAAAATAGATTATTGGGATAACCCTCTGATCTGGTGTGTTGCGTAACAAATTGGTATATAATAAACATTTCCTGAATTTTTGCCGAACACAAATTAACCAAAATCCGGAAAAGAATTAATTTTAAAATTAATTTAAAAAACCAAGTATGGAGCAGAAAAAGAGAAAATTCCAAAAAAGTTCATTCCAACAAAAGGATTCCTTCTACTCCAAACATATACAAGCATTATTGTGAATGCGTGACCAAGAAAAACCAAATGAACGAAACAGGCAGAAATTATCTTTAAAAAAGAATAATTTTAAAAAGAAAAACAAAATAAATAATAACCATAAATATCCATCCAAAAAGAAACATAAAAATGAAATCGGCAGTTTTTCCACGAAAAGAGCCTTCTTCCAACATTGAACAATGCCTTTAAATTTTTAAATATTTATTCGATGAAATGGACTTAAAAAGGTTTTCCTATATCTGACAAGGAACCCTTCCAAGCTATGAGCAAAATTTTCGAGTAAAAATTATACCATCGTGTAGAGCATGGGCGACAACCTATTGCCAATTTTTGGCCCTGCCCCTTCAGAGTTTTCGACTTTTGGAGCGGTCGAGTCTTCCCTCCTTTTTCTTATTACAGAGAGATTTTCTACACGATGGTATAATTCTTATTCAAAAATTTTCCACATAGCTCGAAAGAGTTCCTTGTACATAAAATGAATATAATTTTTTAATGTGAGATTCACAAATAAGTTGATAAAATCTCAAACAAGTGATTATAGACATTTCAAACATGAGGGAAAGAAGGGGCTTTGGATAAATCTTCCCCCTTATTTTTAACTATTCAAAGTCTCCATTTCCTTTAAGGAAAAATTTTCTTTAAAAATTAACCTATATGTGAATATCATGTTGAAGAGAAAAGTAAATCCAATTGATCCAAAATAGCAAAAGGAAGTAAACAACCGCCACCACTTTAAAAATTAAAAGAAAATTTTTAATAAAAATTTAATTAAAAAACCTGTAATTCGTGGATAATTAAATGCCAATTAAAATACAAGTGGAAGGGTGTCACAAAATCTAATTGAACTGCTAATGTACACAAAACACATGCAGTGCTGTAGGCCCTCGTTACCTTTAAGAATTTAATAATTATTCTCCGCTTTTTTAAGAAAAAAATAATCTTAAGGAAAATATCACTCTTTAAAATTAATTTGAAATTTTAAAAAAAAGGAGGGGGATGATGTTTGAAAGTGTGATAGTAACCTATAAACCAGCAATTGAATGAGTTGGAAGGCTCATAGACAATAAAGCTTCGGATCAAAAAATTAACCACCTCTAAACTACTTTTAAAGCCAAGGAAATATTTTGAGGAACAAAAACCATCCATCCCCTATTCACAATTTTTTAAAATAAATTTACCGGGGGCATCTCCTGATAGGCTTGCAAAAGAGGTTGCATCTTTTATAAAATTACTTTTAAAAAATCTACAAATTAATATATAAAAATAAAAAATGATAGAAAAACATTCCTCAAAAAAACAATTTTTCAAAAATTAAAATTTATTCAAGCTTCCAAAAACAAAATAAAAATTAAAAGAATCAACAAAAAATAACTCTCTTTCTCTCTCTCAAGGAGTAATAATTGTAGATTTAACAGTATTTAATTGTAATAAATCAGCCAAAATTTTATTAAGTCTTCCAACCATTTTACTTGAATCTTTTAAAAGTCCAGCAGAAATTAAAGCATTGTCATAAACTTGTTCAGATATTTTTAATGCCAATTCTGGCTCTTTTTTATAAAGTTTTTGTAATCCTTGAATTAGAGGGTGGGTGAAGTTGACATGAAGTACTGGATTTAAATAGACTAAATGTTCCATCTGAATTTTTGAAAAAAATAATTTAAATAGAAATATGTGATTTTAAACAATTTTTGTTTTAAAAATAATTTGGGGAAGATTTGGGGAAAAATTTTTAACAGCACGATAACTATCATAGAGGAAATGAAAAATGATTAGGTTCCCTCAAATAAATTAACCTCTTTAATTTGAGCAATCCGAAGCATATGTCTTGCCGCACCAGCATCAGAAGAAATTGTTATCTATTAAAATAATTATTAATTAATTTAAAATTTCAAAAAAAACCATAAAAGGATGCTCTGATAGGCTTGTGTTTGGTTTAACATCAGTAACACGTACTGAACCAAGTGAATCTTTCAACCAAGTAAGAAATTCTGCAAAGAAAATTAATAAAAAAATTTATGAAGAAAAAAGTCAGTAAAATGAATTATTTTATTACACAATCTAAATTAAATTTTGGCCCACTGATATTATTACCTAGACAAATATCAATCTGTGTGATCCGGCAAATGTCCAGTTGATGTCCTATCCGAAAATGGGTCTTTTAGCCAAGTAATCAAGTAAGAAAAGAAAAAAATGAGCGAGCGCTACTCCAAGAGGAAAAAATGGAAAAAGGATTCCTACCTGTCCCAAATGCGGACAGATCACTGGACATTTGCCGTGTGATCTCCCCTTCCCCCTCTCGCCCCAAATGTTATCTCCAAAAATATTTTTTTAAAAACTACAAACCTTTTTTAACTGGATCTCTTGTAACTTCTTTATTTTCATCCTTTGATACACCTTCATCTTTAACCCATTGTTCGACAGATTGAATCTGTTTCATATGAAATTGAGGCATTGCAAGGAAAACAAGTTCATCTGCTGGGTCAGTAAGGAAAAGAACTTCAAATCTTTTATCAAACATTTCATAATATGGAGAAGTCTCGGCCAATTGACGACTTTAAAAAACAAAACAAACTTTTCTTTCCTTCAAAAAATTAAAAAAAACCTTGGAGCATAAAGATAATAAATGGATTTCTGGTCAGTTTGCATTCTCTCAACATATTCAGATAAAGAAGTTGAAGTGCCAGAACGTGTATTAGATGATTCAAACAACAAAAGTTGGGCAATATCTTCCTACAAAATTAATTTATAAATTAAAAGATGCTTTGTCTAAATTCTCAGAATTTTAATGGCGGGATAAATGAATGGAGGGATAGGTGACATATCCAATAAGGATATCAATACAGAAATAAAAAAATTTTTTTGACTTAAATGAATTATTTTAAGGAATCTTTTCAAGAAATGAATCCAATATTAGTACACGTCAACATAAACAAAAAATATGTATATAGGTTAGAGTATTGCCAAAAAAATGATTTAAAAAAATAGAAGAAAAGAAGACCTAAAAATTATTTAAAAAATTTACCTTTGTTTGATTTGATTGATCAGTCAGAATTCCTTCCTAAAAATTAAAAAAATAAAAATATTCCAAAAAGAACTTCTTACCTTAAGAAATAAAGAATAACCCTTATAAAATTCAGTATATTTAATTCTGTCCTTTTTTAGTTGTTCAACAAGAAAATGAATACAACGGTCTTTGAGTATATTCCTTATTTTTCTGAAAATTTAGGAAATTTATTTAAAATTAATTTTTAAATTTAGTTACTCAATAATAAGATCCATTTGAAGCATTTCTCTAGACAAATTTAAAGGAATATCCTAAAAAAGAAAGAAATCAAAAGACGTCTATTTAAAAAAAATTTTTATTCTAACATTAAATATAGAGATATACAGTGGAGCGCAAAAGTAATGACTCAAAGGTAACGCTAAGGAATTTAGTTTTTTTTCCTTATGAAATATTTGTTCCATTATGAGTTTCATTTGAACCATTTCCCAAAAAGTTATAATACCAAATTCCTTAGCGTTACCTTTGAGTAACACTTCACTGCAAATAGGCAAAATTCTACTGAATAAAAAAATCTAATCGAGGAAGACTAAAAATTCTTTTAAAATTGCTTAAAGGTCTTATTTAAAATTAAATTTTCCCCAAAAATATGTAAATTTAAATAAAACCTCAGAATCGACTACTCCAATCAAAAATCTCAAAAACCGAGGCAACAATTCTTTGGCATTTGGTTTTATAAGAACTCGTTGATTGTACAAAGAAATGCCTGTCTCATGTTGAGAATCAGCAGAAAATTCAAATTGAGAAACTTTTTTTGAAGGAACTTTAGAATAAAAATAAAATTAATTTAAAAAATAAACAGAAAACCATAAAAAAGTGCTCGAATATTTATTGGAAAATCTGTTTGATATTGAAAGGTATATTGAGGACGATCATCTTTTAAATGAGGATGGTGTGTTGTAACTAAATGCCTGAAAAATTATTAAATATATTGAATTAAGGCAGATAATACAAGCCACTAGGAAAATTTTAGTGGAATTCACGGAAAAAGGTAGAATTAAAAAATCATTTTTCCCTATATCCAATAAAATTTTAGTAACGTAAATATTAATTTAAAATATGTAGGTATTTATAAGCGACACAAATAACCAGACAAAAAATCAATAGAAAAATCTGACATTAGAGTCAAATTTTAATTTAAAAAATTAAAAAAATGCCAGAGGGGTAATCGTCTCAAAATTTTGTAGGCCTAGAATTGTATAAAATCTCTAGAAACCTACTTGAATAATGTATCATGCATTTCCTGTGTTGTTTCGCTTGGTTTCATCATCCAAAGGGCGGACATAACATTAATTCTCTCCCCATTCAAAAAGATTGGAACAGAGATAAAATATGAATATCTATTAAAAAATAAATTAAAAAATAATCAAAAACAAAAATAAACTTGTTAATAACATCGGCAACTTTTTCTGCTTGCACAAATTTAGCAGCCTCAGAATCTTTTAACCACAATTCGATTTTTGTTCCGATTTGGGTTGTTGAATCTTCCTCAACTTCGAATTGCTTTCCACCAGACCAGGTCCAAACGTGTCCTGTTGGTTCGTCAACTTTTCTGGTTGTTACACGAACTTTGTCACTAAAACAAGTTTAAAATGTAAAAAAATAAAAAGAAAACCTGACAACAAATGCTGAATAGAAACCAACACCAAATTGACCTAAAAGTGATTAATTTAGGTAAAAGAATACTAAATACATAAAGGCGTGAAATTATAAAAGTAGGGTTGTCGGTTCTTGGAAATTCTTTAGATATCCGAAACCGAACCGAAAAATCTTCGGTTCGGTCCAGAACCGACAACCCGTTATTTCCATTAAAACATCACATAACGCAAAATAGACTAACTCAACTATAAACTTTACTATTGCAATTTGCTTCAGAAATTCAAATAAGAATAATAAAAACAGTTAAAACGATAAATTTTATTCAATTATTTAAATGTACCTATAAGTGATTCCGCTTTTTCCTCATCAGAACGGAAAGATTTTGAACCAGACTTCGCTATAGTACCCAATAATCCAACCAATTCCTCTTCATTCATTCCAATTCCTTCAAATAAAAAATAATTTTAAAATATTTATAAACACAAAAACCTGTATCCGTAAAAACTAATTTTCGATTTTTAACATCACAATCAATTCGTATCTCGAAGGGAATTTCTTGAACAGGACCGGCTTTATCGCCCATTTCAAGATATCTGCGCTTTTCCAAGGCATCAGACGCATTGGCAATTAATTCTCTTATAAAAACCTTAAAAATAAAACAAAATTTAAGCTTTAAACCCCTATAACTTTTCGAAAGGGGTGTGGAGCAGGGGTGTGCCGAAACGGATTTTAAAAAGCGAAACGCAAAATGCGAAAGTAAAGTTAAAAAAGCGAAACGCGAAAGTTATTACAAAAAAGCGAAGCGCGAAATGCGAAAGTCCAAAAAACGCGAAAATCCGCGAGATGCGAAACCGGCACACCCCTGGTGTGGAGCCAAAAAAGCCGGAAACTTCAGTAGGTTTTCGACCATGCTCTACACGATGATGCAAAAATATCTACAAAATTTTTTGGTTCCCTTGTGAGGGTTTTAGTATTGGATAAAAATCGATCTTCGACTAGAAAAAAATTTGGAAAAGATTGGACCCTTTTCAACAATTAAACAAAATAAAGAAATTCAAATTAAAATAAACCTCTTGATCTGAATATAAAGATTTCGCAACAATATCCAAAAGACTATCAATTTCAGCCTGAAACTCAAACTTTTTTGCAGCCCCAACAGAAGCATAATTTCTTTGAATGTTAGGCAAAATATTTAAATAATTTTTGTTTGCTAAAAGACGAAAAACATGACGAGATCTTAATCCAAAATAAAGCGATCGTCTTAACATTTTGTAAATAATCTGAAAAAATTAACTTTTTTAGTGAAATTAAATAAAAATATATTTGCTTAACTAGTTGTGCCCATTGGGGTATGGCGGCGAATAGCATACTCTGGCAGTTTAATTTTGCTTCGGGTTTGAATTTTGCTCTGCCCGTTGGAAAGCCTAACGGCTTTGGGGCGCGCTTCGCGCGCTGCTAGAAACATTAAGATGTGCCCTTTCTTTTCATTGTTCCGGGCCTTCGGCCCTCGCCGATAAAATTTAGCCCTGCCTTTTCATTGTTCCGGGCCTTCGGCCCTCGCCGATAAAATTTAGCCCTGCCTTTTCATTGCTTCGGGACTTCGGCCCTCGCCGGCAAGGTTTAGCCCTGCCTTTTCATTGCTTCGGGCCTTCGGTCCTCGCAATTCGTTTTGAGATCGATATTAAGCTCGGGCCTTCGGCCCTCGCGATCCATTTTGGGATGGATCTTAAGCTCGGGCCTTCTGCCCTTGCGATCCATTTTGGGATGGATCTTAAGCTCGGGCCTTCGGCCCTCGCGATCCATCTTGGATGGTATTAAGCTCGGGTCTTCGGCCCTCGCGATTCCTTTCGGGATGAGTCTTAAGCTCTGGCCTTCAGCCCTCGCGATTCGTTTTGGGACGGATCTTAAGCTCGGGCCTTCGGCCCTCGCGATTCGTTTTGGGATGGGTCTTAAGCTCGGGCCTTCGGCCCTCGCACCGTTGGGGGCCTTAGGCCCCAAACCCCCACCCCCGAAAATTCGACCTTTTGTAACTTTGTACAAAATGGTCAGAAAATTTTACAAAAAATATTTTTAAGCTCAGCTCGATGAGAGCTTTCGATTGATATAACATTTGACCCATTTATACCCATTTTGGGAAAAAAATTTTTTTGGCCGAAAATTTTGGCCGGAAAAATAAACGAATTTTTCAAAAAATCATAACTTTCCAAAAAGTTACCCTTTTAAACCATTTTAAAAGCTTAATATATAGCAAATGTTCTGTAGTATTTTATAAAAATATTTTTAACCACCCTCACCTCGATATACCCCAGAAAATTTCAAAAAACCGAAAAATTTTGAATTTTCAAAAAATCGACCCTACCAGGCCTTGCGTGAAATTTTTCGAAAATTTAAATAGCTCAAAAAATTTGTAATTTTTTGCTCTATTTTATAAACTTTAATTCGTTTGGATACGACAAAAACTTACAAAGTTATGACCAATTTAAATTTTGCCAAAAAATTTCAAAAGGGGTACCACTCCAAAAATGGGTCAAAAATTCGACCTCGAGAAAAATATGTTTTATGGTGCTCCAATAGGTGCTGAACACGAATCTAAAGTCCGTTTATTTTTAAAAATCTTTTCCGCGGAGTTATACTCAAAAAACCGACCACTTTTGGCCCCAAAAATGCCACTTTTTTGAGTATATCTTTCCCAGACTCAAGTGTACCCCCAACAAAGTATATATTTTTAGAGGTTTCGGCTACCCTACAACTCATCCAATCCTTAACTCATCTAACACTTAACTCATCCACACGGCCAAAAACGCTCAACTCATCCAATCCTTAACTCATCTAATGCTTAACTCATCCACAGGCCCAAAAACGCTCAAATCAAATCAATTTATTCAGCAAAATGGACTCTAAATGAGCCACTTAAATTTGCAACAATAAAAATAAGAATATGAATATTTAATTTCAAAAGTCCCTAGCCGGTTGAGTTCCTGGTCAGTTGAGTCTCAACCGGCCCAAGACTCAACCGGCGGTAATCAACCACTCAAACGGCCGGGGACTCAACTTGTCATGGGCTGCAGACGGCCAGAGACTCAAACGGCCAGGGACTCAACTGGTCATGAACTCAGACGGCCAGGGATTCAACTTGTCATGGACTCAGACGGCCAGAGACTCAAACGGCCAGGGACTCAAACGACTGGTACTCAATAGTCTCGTTCCAAAGGATTGGATGAGTTGAGCGTTTTTGGGCGTGTGGATGAGTTAAGTGTTAGATGAGTTGAGGATTGGATGAGTTGAGCGTTTTTGGCCGTGTGGATGAGTTAAGGAATTTTAGCCGTTTAGATGAGTTGAGCGTTTTTGGGCGTGTGGATGAGTTAAGAATTAGATGAGTTGAGCGGGCACGGAGGTTTCAAGGGACACTCTACAAGATAGGATACTCAAATCAAGTTTCAATTCACGCGTTAAAAAGTCGGTTTTGGCGTGGTCACTTTGGTGCCCATAACTATGTCAGGAAAAAATCCCAGACTCAAGTGTCCCCCAACAAAATTGTAGTACATTTAGTGCCCTAACATACCAAAAAAGAGTTGAAACCGTTGGCCCAAGTTTAACCACTTTTATAATTACACTCGATGGGAGCCACCCTTCACGTTAGGGGTTTTGGACATTTTGGACCTTTGACCTTCTGTAACTCTGCCCAAAATGGTCAGAAAAATTTGAACCAAATTTTCCCAGAACCTACTCATGGATCTCTATCGATTGGCATATAAATCATAAATTGTCGGTGAATTTCGTCGGACACCATGTGTCATTTTTGGACGAAGTGCACAATTTTCGCGACGGCACATCGCACTCAACCGTCCACCCAGAGGTCCCGAAATTTTTCCTACGATATAGTACCTTTCCCAACTTAATCGCCTCCCAGCAGACACTTTTTGATCCAACTTTTGCCTCCCGAGTTATTTCCATTTGAAAAACCACCCTTGGCCGTTTCAGTGCGAAAACGACGTTTCAGTGCCGAGGTTATAGTTTTCCTGAATAGAGCGTAAAAAGTTGCAGGACAAATGTACCCTTCAAAAAATTCCAGCCGCCGGCCTTCGGCCGGCGGAATTTTTGAAAGGGATTTTACCCCCAAAAATAGGGGCAAGTTGGGGTTTTTTATATTATATTATAAAAATACAAAAAATTAATTCAAAAAGGGGCTAATAAATTTATGTGTTTACAAAATTATTAAAATAGGGGAAAATCGATAATAAAAATAAAAATCACGATAAAAAAATTTAATTAATTTTAAATTATAGTCAATTAATTTTTGTAAATACTCCAGTCATTATTAAACATTAAAATATGTACAAAGTTAAAATTATAGTACATTTTTACAATTTTGTTATTAGATTTGTAGTGAGCGGAAGAATAGATTTTTCCGGAACCGGATTTGCAACTTGAGCCGGACCGGATCCGGCCGAATTAGTCCGTTCCGAAAAAAATCAGGAGATCACGAAAAAACCCGGATTTGGCTTCCGGACTCCGGAAAAATGCGGCCGGATCCGGTCCGGTTCCGCTCACTACAGATTTGTATTTTTTGTGTATTTTTTACTGATTATTTTAGTCAATTCTGAAAAAAATACACATCAAAATTCTGATTTTTAAAAATACAAAAAAAAACCTTTAAAAAGGAAGTAATTTATAGGGGATTTTATTTAAAATGTCTTTAGTTTTAGCCTTCATTCGAATATATTTTGCCAAATTAAATTCGATTAAAAGATTGTAAAGAATTGTTTTATCTTGTTTTGTTAATTCAAAACTTTTTGCAACAACTTCTGGTGTTATATATTTTGAAAGGATTAATAATTGATTTATATCTGTTATTACTGAAACTACAAAATCCAAAACAGAATCATCCGAAGGGAATGTTCTTTTTCCTAAAAATTTCTTTTTAAATTAAAGAAAAAAATAAATAAAATAATTATTTGTGAACTAAGGTTGGCAGATAGTTGGCAATCTTCGGATATCCGGATCCGATATCCGAGCCGAAAATTTCCGGATATCCGGCCTTTTTCGGATCTGGATTCGCCAATCTTATTGTAAATGACACTTGACGGGTCAGAAATTAAATTAAAAATAGAATTAAAAATTTTCTAAAACTCCCCCAATTTCTCCGCAAATGTTATTCAAATGTCGTTTACCCCCTCTTCTAATAAAAAATCTCCAAATAAATTACCTGCTAATTGTCTCAATAAAAATCCTCTATATTCTCGACATTTAATTCTATGATTATTTAAATCTATAATAATCATTTCATGTTTAGCATTTTTATCACTTAAATTTAAAGACAATTCTTTATCACAAGATACTCCAGATAATTGATGTTCTGTTATTACTTGTTCTAATCTTTAAAAAAATTTAAATATAAAATTGTATTTCAGAAAACACATCAGAATTATTAGATAAACACAAATCAGAACCTCTCAACAAAACAAAAATACACAATTGAAAATCAGAATTCTTTGAAAGGAACATCGTTTACTGTCAGTATGAATTTGATAATTTTTTGGTACCATTCGATAGATACAAGAAAACGGATAATTCCACAATACTAAGTCGAGAGTCCTCTATCGAATGGCACCAAAAAAATTATCAAATTACGCACTGAAAAAACACAAATCAGAACCCCTCAATAAAACACAATTAAAAATCAGAATTTTACTAAAAACACAAAACAAAATCCCTCAATAAAATCAAAATACCTTTCAATTTCTGAAGTCCATTGAACATTCTCAGTTCTCTTCACAACACGTAATTTATTAAGCTTCTCTAACAAATCCATACCCGTAGGTGTACGTTGTTGGGAAGCTAAAATTACAATTTTCTCCCCTGTCAATAATGGATAAACACACTAAAAATTAAATTAAAATTTTCTAAAAAAAATAAAAAATACCCTAAGTAATCTAAAAGATAAAGATTTTAGTGTATTTTCGTCTTTTTGTAAAGAATAGGAAGAAATAATAAATTTATTATTGTTATTATTATTCTCTTCCTCTTCCAATTTTTCTTGTTCTTGAAATTCTTTTTGTGAATTAGCACCAAAAACACTTCTAAAAAAATTAAGTTTTGTATTTTTTAATTAAAATGCTAATTTGTGTTTTTGTATTTAAATAATTCTGATTTTATTAAAACAAAAATACAAATCAGAATTTTAACAACAGAACAAATAATTCTGAAAAACAAAAATAAAAGTTTTAATTTTATCAGAATTTTTAGTGTTTAGTTAAAATTCTGATTTGTGTATTTGTTTTTCAGAATTTATTTTTTGTATTTCTTTTGGTAATAGTAGTCTGTTTCGTACCCAGCACCTATTTTTCTGACCATTTTTTCATTGTTGTGCTCTTTCTCCCTTATTTTTTATGAGGCAAGGTATTAAAAAGGATTATGATGCATTTTTTAAATTTCACCTCAAAACAGGCATATTTCCAGAAAACATTAATCCTTCAACTGTTAATTTTTGTTGTTTAATAAATTGATTGTAAGCATTCTTCAAAATATTAAAATAATTTTTCCCTGCCTTTAAAATTTATTTTTTAAATTGAAAAACCAAACAAACACAAGGTGCAAGTTCCATTAAATCAACTAATTGTGCCATTTGTTTCCAACAAAGTATTCTAATAAATTTACGAAAATCCTCTTCTTTACATTCACATGTACAATTTGTATTGGTTATTTCTTCAAATCCTGTCATTTTTCCAAGGAAACGATCATACCAAGATTTTGACTGAAAAAAAGAAATAAATTTTTAAAGTTTTTGTATTTTAAAAATTAAAATCAGAATGGTAAACGAACAAAAATACAAAACAGAATTGCAATAGAAATCAGAATTCTGAAAAAATAAAAACACAAATTAGGAAGAAACAAATAACAAATCAGAATTATTGTAAAACAATAAAACACAAAACAGAAATGCGAAAGAAACACAAAAAAATCAGAATTCAGAAAATCAGAATATCAACAAAACAAACCTTTCAACAATACAAAAAACACAAATCAGAATTTCAGAAAAACAAAAACAAAACACACAACAGAATATAATTAAAACAAATCAGAACTTCAACAAAACAATAAAAACACAAAGAATTCTGAAAAACAAAATCCCAACAACACAACAAAGATTAAAACACAAGGCAAAACAAATAATTTACCTGTAACATAATTTCCTTAATTTTACTAGACAAAACAACAATTTGTTGAACATTTCCTGATGTAGAATAATAAGATTGGAAATTTGTTTTTTCACAATTATCAGCCAATTTAGAAGCAAAAGTAAGCATTGAATGAATATAGTAACGATTACAGGAAAGTAAAGGTAAAAGAATTTCCATTGAAATTTGTCTAAAAATTAAAATTTGTTCGGGTGTTGGTTTTTGTTGTGGCAATACAAGTGATAGAGCAAATGGTCTCTAAATTAATTTTAAAAAATTATTTAAACGTTGAAATTTGGTAAAGAAAAATCAGAAAAACCTGTAAAGCTCTAGCAGTTATATCCAACATTGTAGCATATTGAGTTAAAACATAAACCCCAAGTTGTTGATTATAAGCTGAAGTAAAATTCCCATGAAAATTATCAGAACTCATTAACCAAAGGGAAAGTTCCTCGAGTAAATGGTTAAGACAAGCATCTTCTGGATAAGAAAATAAAGGTCTAAAAAAGAAAACAGATAAAATTTTAGGTTTAAATGAGGTATTATTATTACCTATAGGATATTAAAAAGCTAGAATCCTAACTTTAAAAGTAGACTTAAATTCCTACCATAATTCAGAAAATCCTAACAACCTTATAAAAAATCCTAGTAAGGCGAATTAAAAAAATAAAAACCTTGGCCCAATAATTTGGCAAAATTCAACAAAAAGAATTATTGGTTTATCCAACGAACACACTCTATTCCACGGATCAGCAATAGTTTTTCCAAAAACCAAAAAATCGTCCATATATCTATTAAATTATTTATCTGAATATTCAAAAATTCTTTTAAAAAAATTTAAACGTATTTTTAAAAAACGTTTTTATAAAAAAATTTTTTAAATTATAATTTTAGTCGAATAAGTATATTTGTGTACAGAGAAAAGAAAATAAATAAATTTATTTATAAATATAGTACAATTTTTTACTGAATATGTAGAGGGGAATAATTCGTGTCGGGCTAACTCAAGGAACAGACAAATCAAGGAACAGACAAGTCAAGCAAAAGACAGGTTAAGAAACGACCAATTCAAAGAATGACCAACTCATTGAATATTTTAAACATCGGAATTTTTTGAAAAATCTGAATATTTAAAAAACAGAAGTTAAAACAAATTAGAATACTTCAAAAAACGGAATTTAAAAAATTCTGAAAGATTCCGAATTTTAAAATATTCCATGAGTTGTGGTCATTCCTTGAGTTGGTCGTTCCTTGACCTATCTTTTCCTTGACTTGTCTGTTACTTGAGTTGGTATTCCTTAAGTTAGCCCCCACCCGAATAATTAATTTTAAAATATATATTTTCTTCTTTTTTTTTTGGCAGAAAAAATTTATAATAAAAAGAAAAAAGGGAATAATAAATAAATAAACACAAAATTGGGACTCAAAAATTTAAATTTTTAAAATATATTCCAAAAGAAATTTTTTTGGAATAATTTAAAATTTTTTTAAATAATATAAACCTATTTTTAATAGAAAAAGCACAAAATATTTTCTTTTCGTTTCTATTCTTTTTTAAACTAAAATATAAATTAGAATCATCCAAACCATTTTTCAATTTTTGAAAATTGTCAATCTATAAATTGTTTAAATTAAATTATATAATTGGATATTAGATGTCGGACTGACAAGGGAAACTCACAAACTGTGAGTTAAAATTTTGTATTTTTTGGTACCAGTCAATAGGTACCATTCATTGATTTGCTCTAGAAAATTTTCGGCCTTTTTTGGCTAGTTTCATATTCCTAGGCAAATATGCCGAAAATTTTCTAGAGCAAATCGATGATTGGTACCTATCGATTGGTACCAAAAAAGTATAAAATTTTGACTCAAAGTTTGTGAGTTTCCCTTGTGAGTCGAGATCTCGATTCTCGAAAGACCCTCCAAGTCCGGTCTCCCTAATAATCCCCTTCATTTAAAAATTAATTTAGAAATTTTTAAACCAAAAAGTTTACTAAATCCCTCCCCTAAAAAATAAAATAATTAAAGTAATTATAAACCTCTCAGCTTCAGTTAAAATAAATTCGAGAATCTGGCCATAAGTAATCCTTAAATTAAAAAAATATATAAATTAAAATAATTAAATTAAAAAAAACATTCGAAAGGCTAAGTTTTGTGTAGGCTCTACAATTAAAGGCTGATTTTGAACTTCCTCCTGTCGTTTATCCACAGTTTTTCTTTTCCCGATATTATTTGATTTTCCCTTGTCTTGAGTTGTTTTAAAATTTCTTTCATCTGAGCAAAACATTGAAGGCCCGAAAATAATGGCAAGGTTGTGAATTTGCATTCTGTTCTGAATTAAAGAGAAAAAATGAGTTGCTGACTAAATGAAAAAAATTTTAAAAAGAAAATTTAAGCAAGAAAAGTTATCATAAAGGCCAGAAAGGGCCTAGTCACAGGGGGCTTCTGGGGCTATAGTCTCCTGAAATGGGGAAAAGTGAAAAATATTGGGAGAAAGACGATAGGAAAAATGAAATTTTTTCGCTTGACCTTCAAAATTCTCAAAATTTTCACCTGCGGACTGAAAATATACGATCAATAAAATTTGAGTACAAAACGCCAAAATCTTGGCGCACACCCCATCTAGCCCTCTTGAAATTGACCCCCTTGAAGGCCGGTTTAAACAAAAAAAAATCAATCCGAGGCATAAAATACAATGAAAAAATACAATGAAAAAATCTCCAAGCATTTAATTTTTTTAATTAAAATAAATTAATTTACCTTTCCAGAATGTGTTGCTACTCTAAAATTTAAATTTAAATAAATTAATTTAATAATTATTTAAAAAATCTATTTACTTATTGAGATGTAAAATTAAAACACGCAAAGTTTGTTTATTAACTTGTGGAAGTTTGTGAAGCAAATCATCTATACATTTAAATTTTTTTGAGCCAGAATCTCCTTTTTAAATTAAAAATTAAGAAAAATTAAATATTATAAAATTATTTTAATGAAAAAATTAAATGAATGTTTAACTTTAGATTAACGGAACACGAAAAAATCGGGAAAATAAAATCCAACAATAAGAAATAAAATACAGGTCTCTATGCATCTCAGACTTTCTCGATTTTTGACGTTTAAAATGAAAAAATTAATATAATATTACTTATAGCAGACATAAATTCTTTATGCATTGTAGCCGGAAAAATAGGTTCTTGAAGCTCCCGAAGAAATAATTTTAAAGCGCCACTGAGAACGTGAATATCCTCCTCACGTCTCATAGGTTCATAATTGTCTAAAATAAAATTTAAATTAAATAATTCCTTTCAAAATTTACCCTGATCAATTTGGCAACGAATTTTTTGAACAGAAGAAAGATTGCCATTTACTCGATAAAGACTTGAAAAAAAATAAAATTGATTGAATAAATTCGGTCGAAAAAAGAAAATTTTTTAGAACTGGACAAAATAACAATTTCAAAAAATTATTGCACCTTGCCGTCCTCGATGACACAAATTTAAAAATAATTTTAATTAGAGGGGCCAGCCTAATTACGAGAGATGTTGATGGTGAATAGGATGCCCAGAGGTAGCGCAACGAGCGGGGTGAATGATTATTGGTATACCACTTGGTCAGGTTTAAAGCCGACCGAACACTAGGCCATTGATTAATAGAGAACTAATAGAGAACATTCTTTCCAGAACCAAAGAAAACAAAAAAAAATTAAAGTATTTCCCAAAAAACTTAAATAAATAAAAACAAACCCATCACAATCAAGTCCTTTTTGTTCAATTAAAGTAGTTACTTCAGTTATAAATTTGGGGACTAACGACTTTTCTCTAAAACAAATTTCACTTAAAGTACTTCCAAATACTGGTTCTGCTAAAATTTAAAATAAATTTAAATTGAAAAATAATTAAAAAAAAAACGTTTATAAATTCCTCTCTCCCTAAGTGATTCCATTGAAGGTCGAGAACGGAAAAATCGCAAAAGCCTTTCAATAATTGTTGCCTTGGCAGGAGGGACAACTTCTACAGCATTATTATCCACAGAAGAAAAGTGATCGTCAGAAATTGCTTAAAATTTAAATAAAAAAAGAAAATTGGCATTATTCTTAAACTATAAGATTGTCTAAGCTGGTTTTCTAAATTTTGAAGGAAAAATATGAATTTGTATCCTTAACTGGTTCCATGCACATTTTTATAAAGAGTTGGCGGGGAGCTCCAAAATTATAAGGCTCGGCTTGTAATTTTTAGAGAGAGCTTGAAATCTCAAAACTAAAAAGGACCTGATTTTTCACTAAAAAACCTAGATTTCATTTCTTTTAAAATTTATTTTCTTAAAATTAAAGAATAAATAATATGAAGAGGATATAATAGAAGTAGCCAACAATTACAATCAAATATCACAAATAAAATTAAATTTACCAATACTTTTGGTTGAGGAAGGCTTCAAACGTGATTTTATAGAATTGTGAAGTGTTGACTTTCCAATTCCAAAAGTACTACTTGCAGAATCGCGTTTGTGCCGAATTGAACGTTGAAGACTTCCATTCCAATCACAAATAATTTTATTTGAAGAAATTTTTAAAGCAGGCTAAAGAAAATTTTTTGAAAAGAAAATAAAAAATAAAAAAAAACTGCAGAAATTATTGCTTGACGTAAAGCATAAAACCAATCATTTATTTCTTCTTCATCACTACAAAAATTATATTCTGTTTTTGATGGAAGTAAAAGCTAAAAAAAAATTTTTAGAAATAAATTTAAAAAAATTGTTTAACCGAAATTATGTGCTTCCTTCTCTTATCTCTTTGTTTTTTGTCATCAGTAATAAATTGGACAATTGCATCTCTCAAATCACAAACATCTGAAAAAGAATTTTTTAAGTGGATTTTCCTAAATGAAATTCATAAAAGGAAGGGTTTTAAACTAAAAATCTTCTAATAAGCCATAAAAAAACGCACAAGTAGTCAACCAATCTACAGAGAAAAATATTCGCGTTCATTTAATGTGTGCTAAACTAGAAAAGACTAGAAAATTTATTCTAGTCTTATGTGCTAGACTAGAATAAATATTAAAACTTTAGTTAGTATAGTGTGGAAAAAAAAATTAAAAAAAGAAACGGAAAAACAAGTCGATTGAACGAGCTTCTCGACCTTAAAATGCCCGAAAAGAATTTTATCCGCCATTCCCAAAATGAATTCGATATCGCCTATCTCGTTAAGTCCAAAAATAACAATAAACAAACACCCAACTTCCCTAGTCAATTTCTCCCTATTTAAATTTAAAAAATACCCAAAGGAGCAGGATAATGTTTTCCATGCTTCTCTGCAGACTTTTGATCTTTGTAAAACAACAAATGTCCAATATATAAATAAGCATAAGCACTAGACCAATCTTTTCTTTTTAATTTCACCCCATTTTCAGACAATTTACACCTTTCGAGAAAACCATGTCGAAGTTCTGTATCTTTATGGCACTGGCTTGTATTGTCATAATTGGTAGAACATTCGGTTATATTATCCGAAGATTTTAAATCTGACGGAAATTTTGATTGACCCGTAACTTCATCCAAACTATGTGACATTACACCTGGCTGAAAAAAATAATTTTAAAATGTTTATTGTTAGAAGATAACACGGAAATTTTGATAAAATATTGACTTTAAGTTTATCTCATCAGAACTTCCGTGATCTCTTTGATTTCCGGGACTGTTACAAGGGATTCCGGTGTGCGGACATATCGAGGTGGACATATCGGGATTGGGGTGACAAAAATAATTTATTGCGTGGTTACATTTGTTCTAAAACATAAAAACTCTATTCCTCAACAGTACAATATACTATCAAGGACCCAGTGGCCGTAGGTCCCGAAATCAGTAGGGTTCGTACATTGAAATATCCCGATATGTCTGCGTGCCGGAATCATACTGAAAAACAACAGAAAGACCCCTGAAGCTGTCTTAACGACACTAGAATTAACCCAAAAATTGGTTGAAAATAAGATCCCCTTCAAAAACAACCCAAAATTTTCCTTCAAAAAAACCTTATTAACGGCAACATTTTCATTAGATTCAACAAATACAGATTTGTGCATTTCATTTGTTTTGAATGAACCAATTCGATTTTTAAAATTATGAAGTAAAGGAATTTCAGCAAAATCAGCAGATTCAACAGAAGTAGAAGGATAACGATTTTGATGAGCAAAATTAGTGGCAAATAAAGGCTCCATATCTTCTTGTGAGTAAAATTTTAAAGTTGTTCTTGGAGGCTAAAAATGTGAAAATTAAATTTTATTTTAAAGAAAATATACGGGAAATTTATTTTAAAATGTCAATAAGTTTGGGTAAAAATTTAAAATAAAATTTAAAATTTTTGCCAAGAAAAATTTTTTCTTTAAATTCCATTACAAACTCAAAAAGAATTTTAGTTATCCTAATTCGGGTAGCCATCTTCGAGTCGGGCCGACGTTCGAGTCATTTCTTTCGGGTCTTTTTTTTCGGGCCGGCCCGACCGAGTCATTTTCGGGCAAAATGCGATGCCCGACTCGATTTTTCGGATCGGACCGGCAACCCTAATCTTAACCCTGGGATAAATCGACGTTTGCGGACATAAACAATCTTACATTAAAAATGATACTTACTAAAAGTTTAGCTATTGAAATTCCCATTTGTCCCAATTTCAAAAGTTCCAGTTTTGTCCGCAAATGTCAAATTAAAAAAGGGGAGGGATGGAAACCTTATTTAGGTAATTCTCCTTTATTTTTGAGTCAATTCCAAAAAAATCAATTATGAAAATATTGCGAAAAAAAAACGCAAATCGCTTAAAATTTTAAATTGAAGGCGATGATTCACTTAAAAAATACAAAAATCCTTAACATTTAAAAATGAATCACTCCAAATAATTCAATATATTTAAACTTGGGGTTAATTTTGATTTTTATTCATTTTTACAAAGTTTTAGCTTTTTCACAAATTTTGATAAAAAAGTTGTTGAAAAAATAAAAAATCCCCCCAAAAAATTTAAAAATTAAATACCTTCCATTGACAAATTTTATTTAAAGGGTGGTAATAGTAAGACCTAAATATTATTTTTTAGAAAATTTAAGCAAAAATTAATTAAAAAAAACCTTCCACCCAAAGTTCGATATTCTCTCCAACCATTTGCAATTATTCGCCTAAAAAAGAATTATTAATTAAAATTAAATAAATTTAGTGAACGAGAAGATTAATTTAATTAAAAGTTTGCAGATATTTAAAGAAGAGAAAGATCCTTATCTTAAAAAATACTTTGGTAAATTTGTTGAAAGGGGTAACGAAGTTAAGAGTTGTTTGGAAGAAAACAGAGTAGTCCAAAAAATAATTTAGAACTAACAAAGGAGAGTGCCTGAGGTGTCCGTGGGACTTCGGGATGAAATTAGGTAGACAGATAGATTATACCTTGTGAAATTTTCCCCATTTCTGATGAACGGTACCGTGGACCGAGTTAAAGCAACACGGCTTCTTCACTCATTTTATCATCAAATTAAAAAACCCCAAAATTTCTTAAAAATGAGGGGATCACTTTTTTCTGTTCCCTTTCTGGGATTTTATAATCTTTTTTAATCGAAAGACAACAAAAACCTCAAAAAAATAAACTAACAAGGGAGAGGAAGAAGCATCCGGAAATGGAGGATAAGGCCTTCTATCAATTTCTTGTAATTCCTTAAACAAAAAATTTATTTTTTTAATTAACAAAAAAAAACTTGTAAACGAGAAATTTCTCCATAATTTGCATAAATAAGAGAATTGTTGTCACTAGAATTTTTACAATTTTTAACAAATAAATTGTTCGAATCGCATTCTAAAGCTGTGTTTTCATATGTACTATTTACAGTTTGTTCGTCTTCACTCAACTTTAAATTTGGGAAAAATTAATTTTAATTTAAAACAAAGGGAAAAAAAGAAATTACGAGAAAATATTTTTAAAAAATCAGAGCCCAAAATCTGACCAGACAATAAATCCCAACACATCACTCCCCTCTTAAAGTTTCTACCCCCACGCTCCCCGCCCTCCCCCCCCCTCCCCGCAAAAAAAAGAAAAACTAAGTATTTCCTTATTGTCCCAAACATAAAATAAATTAGAGAATATACATAACAGTTAATAAACGTTAATTCTAAATTTAAAAGAAATTAATATTTTTTATTTAAAGTTGACTTGAAAGGAATTTAAAATTTAAAATAAACAGAAAAAACCTCATTTCCATAAGAATTTGCTGAATAAGGGCCATCAACAATTAACAAAGGTTTTCTGGAATCTAATGAATCCATCTAGAAAATAATTAAATAATTAAAAAACAAATAAATTTAAAAAAATTAATTAAATCTTCATTTTTTAGACAAATTAATCCACCATTTATTTATTTAAAGTTACAATTAGTTTATTTTTCGAAACGAAAACTTGATTAATTATTTAGACGTTTCAGTGTAATTTTTGAGTGTGTGGGCAAAGTACTGTATTTTAATAAAATATTTATTATTTTAATTTGATTTTTTATTAATTTAGTTTAATCACATAGATATAAAACTCACAAAATTAGCAGAAAACAGTAGCAAGAATTTTCAAAAAAAATTTTTTCACCACACTTATAGGTCTTTCTAAATTTTTATTTTATAACCATTTAAATGTCCTTAAAATTTGCTACGAAAAAAAATATTTTAAAAAATTTAATTAATTAAAAAGGGTTTAAACAAGGAAAAAAGGAGAAATTTTTTTTTAAAAATACTAAAGCCAAAATCTGACCAAACACAAATTAATTAAAAAAAATTATTCTTAATTTCCATTTAGTTTAACTTATTACATTAACGAATTTCAGCATACTTATCAAATTAACTTAAAATACCCTTTTTAATTTTTAAATTTAATTTTCCTTAACCTACAAGTAAATATTTTTATTTATTGACATTTATTTTAATATTTTGATAATGACCTAATTTTTGTACTGTTTTAAATATTTATTTTAAACGGTTTCTCGTTAAATTAACTGTCCATCCTTTCCGGTGATTTTCTTCTCTCAATAAATAAATATTTCTTTTCCATATTTTGTTCTAATTTTTGGATTAAAATAAATTATAAATCGTTAAAAAAGATTGAATTTTGGTTATTAATATTCTTCTTTCTTCCTTCCTTCCCCTTCCCCTTTTTCTAAACAACATTTTAAATAAATGGGAAGGAAATATATTTATAGGGAGGGGGAGATTACAATCCCCCCTAAAAACTTGAAAGACCGGATAGGCGGTACAATATCTCTTTTTGTTCAACCAACTTTACTTTTGTTGTTTAAAATAAAAAGACTTTTTGGGCGCAGTTTGGGGTAAGTTATTTAAATATAAATTAGTTAAGGAGGAACACACGGAAGTAAGATTTTGCTTAATTTTCTTAGAAGGCTTACAAAGGCTTTCTGACAAAATTTCAGATTTTCTGAGACTTGATAGTTGGAGAATTATGACTTTAATTTATGGTTACCCTTGAAATATCTTTGTGTGTAAAAACTCAAAACTTAGAAAAGTTTCCCTAATTCAAAAGAATTTTGAGAATTTTTCAGTTAGTCATTGATTAATCCTATCCCTTTATTTTTTATAATTCTTCTCAAAAACTCTCCGTGGATACTGAGTTTTTCTCGAAAATAATTACGTTTTTCTACCACATACAAACAAAAAACTACAACAATTCCCTCCTAAATATTTTATTTTTTTTTCAATCACAACACACATAAATTGCTCTAGCTTTTCTAAAATAAACTATTAAAATAACGGCTCTCTTCTCATTTTCCCCACCCTTTCGCGATTTTTTCGGTACCGGATTGTTCCATTTTCACAAAAACAAGAGGAAGAAATAAACAAAAATCCATATAGCAACAACAACAAAATTGTTAGCAACAAATTTATTATTTTATCGCATCAATTCGCTCAGTGGATTAAAAAAAGAGATTTTTATTTTTATTTGACCATACAACAACAACGAACAACCACACTCGCCTTTTCTCTTATCTCCCTTGTTGTGAGAGTTGTTTGGGCGCAGAAACAGTTTGGGCGCTTAGTTAAAAAAGTGTAAAGAATGTAAAGTTGGGGATGTGAAAATTTTTGTAAATATTTTTAATTGTATTGACCATCGTTTCTTTAATTTTCAGAATTTTTGATTTTTTATTTCAAAAGTTATATTCAAAAAAACCAATTTAAAAATCATCAAAACCGTCAAAATCGTTAATTTTTCAATCAAAAATTTTCAAACCTAACTAAATCAAAAATTCCCCAATTTTGGAAGATTTAAATTTTTTGGCAAAATTTTTAAAAATTTAAAAACAAAATTCAAAGTCCGCGCCCAACTCTACTTCCAAAACCCCCACAGGCAGCAATCCATTCCTTTCTTCCCTCCAAAAACTTTGTTGTTGTCGATTCCCCGCTGTTTTCGCCTCAATTGGATCAGAAAAGGCTACTTTTTTTCTTTCATCCTCACACATTTATTTTTAAAAGTATTAATTTTCTGACCAGCTTTCTTTCTTATTTATTTTCACTTTTATATCCTTGCGCGTTAATTTGTAAAAAAATAAATTTTGTTTTTATCCTTTAAAAATTCCAAAAACAAGTTTATTTTTTAAAAAGTTTTGTTAGGATCTGCTGATATTCTCTATATTTACATGAATTTGTTTCCAAAAACATTGATCTCGATAATCCAAATAAATTATTTCAAATTTATTGAGCTTTCCTTTTTTTAATGACTAATTTTGAAGTAAAAAGGGAAATAAATAAATATTTAATAAACACTTTTTGAAACAAAAAAGGGAGGAGGGGAATAACTTATTTGTTTATTTGTCCAAACTTTGTATTTTGCTTCTAACAAAAATGGATATATATTTAGCATTTAAGGCGCCTTAAAATTGGAACAAAAAAATAATCAAAGTTCATTTATCTAAAAAATAAATTTTTTTTTAATTTTCTCCCAAATTTTTAGAAGAAATTTCCCCAAAAAATGCCCACCACCACCACAAATTCACTCAAATTTAAATTATTTTTCCTTCTTTTTTTAATTTATTCACCTCCATTTAATTGCGAGGGGAATTCCTCAGTTTGTTCATCAGATGCCTTTTTCTGTCCAATAAATGGAAATTGTATCCCTCTTGATTGGGTAAATGATGGAGAACCTGATTGTGAAGATGGGGCTGATGAAAAACATGTTTATAATAACAACACGGAAAATGAAAACAACAAACAAAAATTATTAGAAACAAACAACATGTTGGAAAAAGAAGAAAAAACAGAAACACTTATTGACTGGCTTGTTCAGATGGAAACAGAATTACCCAAACTTTTTACTCAATCAAAACAGTAAAAACTTGTTTGTTTTAAAGAGAGTGAAACAAACTTGTTTTACTCTTTTTCTATAAAACATTCCAAAACTTGAAACTTTAAAATAAACTTGTTTAGAAGAGTGTTTAGATTAGGATGAACAAAGTTTACTTTCTTTCTGAGATGTTTAAATAAGCATGTTTTGATATGTTTTTACAATTCAAACATGTTTTCCAAGTTTAGAGTTTCTCTGAACATTTAATATTAGCATGTTGTTTTTCCGATTTCTAAACATGTTTGGATGTTTTTGTAAATTTGTTTCCAACCTCAATTAAACATTAATTAAATGTTTATTCTTTTAAGTTTTCCATTTTCTTTCATAGATCTGGCCAACTTTTGCTTAAAGGATGTCAATTTCTCGACAACAAAAATCAATCAAATTCTGTTGGAGGTCCTTGGGTAAAAAATTAATTTTAATTAAAATAAAATTTTTAATTTTATTTTAGGCTCGTCTTCATGTTTTTCTTTGTGAATTATTAACCCCCGCTTTGTTAGACCAACCAGAATGTTTATCTGCTACAAATCAATGTTCTTCTACAAAATTATTTTTTAATGAAACTTCTCTAATTTCCCTTCCGTGTGCTTTACTTACTCAATCTGTAACACATTTTAGTTGTATTGAAGCAAACCCTCCCTCAGAATGTTCAGAATCTGCACTTGAAATGGTAAAAGAAAAATAAAATTTTGTAAAACATTTCAATTAAAGTTAGCACCATTACGACAAGAAAGTGAACATTGGTTTGGAGATTTAAATTGTAATGATTCTTCAAAACAACAACAAATAAATATAAAATCTTGGGATGTTTTAACAATTCTGGCAAATGCAGAAATGTTTTGTAAAAATAAAAAAACACTTGAAAACAATGAATTGGCAAAACCTATCTGGACAAAGGTAAAAACACAGGGAAAACAATGAGTAAATGATTAAAACATTGTTTAGAAAATAATGTTTGGAAACATAAGAAATATGTTTTTAAATAAAAACAATGTTTTTCCTCACAGAAACAAACAAAACATAAAAACATGTTTTTAAATGAATTTGAAAAATGTTTGGAAACAAGCTGATTAAATAAATGTTTATTTTCATGTTTGTTTTAATATTTAATGTTTGTAAACATGTTTTTCTCGTATTTTCTGATTTCTATAATTCAACCTTTAATAAAACAAACTTAATTTTAGTTGTGTGAAAAAGTGAACATTTTATCAGAAAATTCTGATTGTTTGAATGAATTAGCTAGAAAAGACAATAAAAAGTGCAATTTTCAGGTAAATATTTAAAATTTATTTTTATTTAATATTTTGCTACAATTTAGTTAAATAAACAATTAAATACTTCTTGTTCAATATTGGAAGCTTTTAATAAAAATATGGATTGTTCGATACATTCGCTAAATGAGTTGTGTCCTATTAGAGTTCAAGAGGCAGTTATTAGCATTCAGGTAATTAACAATTAATTGTTTTAACTAATTGATAATGTTTCCAAACATCAAAATAAGTACCAGAATCTTAGGCAAAACATGTTTTTATGCATAAAAACATGTTTTTATGATAGAAACATGAATGTTCGGAACAAGTTTTAAATGTTTATATTGTCAAGTTTATTTTAATCCTGATTTTTATGTTCGCAAACATGTTTGATGTTTTTATGTTTTTCTGATTCGTTTGAAACATGTTTTTTCATTAAATAACACAAACTTCTAAAAATTATAGGAGCAACTAAACGATGAGGCAATCTCCCAACAATG